TGACTTACGCACAGCAAGCACGGTCGATCAAACTGGGTATGTACACCTCATACCACACACAAAATCAAATCCGGATGGACTACAGACCAAACGTGAAAGGCAAAACTATTAGACTTTCACAAGACAATGTAGAACAGCAGGGAAATTGAGAGCAACGAGCTGGGACTGGTACTCATATTAACACGTGTTGTGAAGAATCATTAAAACAATGTGGCACTGAAGCACGAGCAGACAAAAACAAAGTCCAGAAAAACACCAAAGGACACGTGGAAGTTTCCTAGGATGAAAATGGCATCTCAAAGGACTCGGAAAAAGATGGACTTTTAATAAATGATGTTGGAACAACTACGTAACTATCTGGGCAGGGGCGTGGAAGCTAAATTAGATGCGTATTTCACATCATATGACATATAAAAGTGGATCAAAGATATATTTGTAAAAAATAAAACCACAAGAGTACTAAGAAAATATGGAGAAATTCCTTTATAACCTTGGAGTGACTCAAAACCCAGATGCCATTAACAAATTTGATAAGTTCAACTACAAAAAAACAAAAAAGTCCTGCATGACAGAAAACACCTAAAGCAAAGTGAAAAGATGGCATGAAACAAGCCATATACAAAGGACAAATATTGTATGGATTACATTTATATGAGGTGTCCATAACAGGCAAATTTTTAAGACAGAAATTAGAGAACAGAAGTTAGCGGGACTGAGGGAAGGGAGGAACGGGCAGTTATTTCTCAATGGGTATAGAGTCTCTGCATGAGATGATGAAAAAGTCTGGAAAGAGACAGTGGTGACGGCCGCACTTCATCGTAAATGTACTTAATGCCACTGAATTGTACACTTAAAAATAGTTCAAATGGTACATCTTGTTACGTATATTTTGCCACAATTTTAAAACATGAGGACAACCAGATAAACAATTTAAAAAATGACAGAAAACTAATGACAAATGAAGACTGAGTAGTGGGGAACATTTGCACCCCATACCACAAAAGTTTACCTCCTCAACACATAAAGAATTGGTAAGAATAAAGAACAATAACCCAATTCAAAAAACAGATAACACATATGATATGAATAAACAGTTCACAGAAAGAAAAATACAAATTGCCCTTAATCACATGAAAAGATGTTCATACCTCATTCATCAGAGAAATGCAAATTAAAACTATACTGAAATACATTTTTCACCTTCAGACTGGGAAAAAAATTTAACAACATACTCTCACGGCAAGATTATTAAAAAAGTCACCCTCATATTCTGCTTGTAGGAATATAAATTGTTATATTCACTATTGAAGGCAATTTAGCAATGTCTAGAGCGATACAAACGCATGCACTTCTTAACCAAACAACTCACTTCTGGGACTTTATCCTATAAATATGCTAGCACATGTGGGAAATACATACGTACAGGTTACTGCAGCATTGTTTGTAATAGTAAAAAGTTAGAAACAATCCAAAAACCCATCAATAGGAATCTGGTTAAATAAATTATGGAACTACAGTACAACGGAAAATTATACACTGTAAAAAAACAAGAACCCCTCTATTCAGACACACAAAGAGCTCCAAGATATAAAGAGAAGAAAGCAAGGTGCAGAATAGCGTAAATACTATGCTTTATGCATAAAAAGGGAGGGAGAATACGTATTTATATTGTAAAAAGACACTCTGGAAAGATATACAAGAAACTACTACAAAGTTACTACTGGGAGGCAAGGGACGGAGTGGGGGGCAATGAGGTAGCGGGATAAGAATGGAAACAAGACATTCCACTGTATGTTTTATTATTTTGATTTGAGATATGTGAATGTATTTCTTATTAAAACTTATTTTAGTAACTTAATAGTTACTAAATCCAAGGGTATATGCATTAGTCAAAACTCAAATGATACAATGTGCATTTCATTTTATGAAATGTTTTTTATCTCAAAGAAAAAAAACCTAAATACTTATCTCAAGTTAATGATATGCATGCTGAAGTATTTAGGAGGAAGTGTACTGATGCCTGTAACTTACTTTGAAATGCATAAAAAAACAAGATGGATTAGTGCAAGGATAACGGATGGATAGATATATGATAAAGTACAATTAAATGTTTATTGTACTAGGTGGTAGAAATAGGAATATTGAGTACAAAATTCTTTCAACTTTTCATAATAAAATGTTGAAAAATATTTTATTGAAATTTTAAAATAGAGAACTCATGAATCAATAAACAGGAAAATGAGAAAGACACAAACGGCTATTCAATAGAAGACGCAAATGTTCCATAAACATATGAAAAGTTATTCAATCCTACTTTTAATCAGGGAACTACAAATTAAAACCACCTTGAGACACCATTTCTCAGGCATCATATTGGCAAAAAATTTAATCAGCACCAGTGTTGAAGACGATTATGGAAATAACCCAAAACCCAAATGCCCATTAACAATACAATGGGCTATTAAATCGTGAGATATTCACACAATGAAATATAGTATGAAGCAGAGAGGGTGAATAAACCATTAATACCTTCATCCACAGGAAAGAATCTCAAAATACATTTTAAGTAAACGATGCAAGTAATTAGAGAAGACAGTCAGTATGATTCTATTTACATCAGGTTTAAAAACAGGTTAACCTAAACAACATATTAGACACCCCCCATCAAGCCACATCATCTAGCGCACGGATAACTGCAACAGCCTCCTCCCTGGTCTCCCGGCTCCTGCCCTCTGACATACAGCCCGAGGGATCATTTTCAAACGTCAATTAAGGTAACACGTCCTTAGCTCGCAACCCACCTCTAGCTCCCCATGTCCCGCAGAGCAAAAGCCAGGAATCCATACACCAGCCCCCTTGGCCCTGCCTGGTCCAGCTCCCACTACCTGTCCCTCGCTCGACCTGCTCCAGCCACAAGGAATCCCTTGCTACTTCTCAAACTAGCCAAGCTAGGTGCAGCCTCAGGCCTTCCCTCGGAATCCACGTGGTTCACTCTCAAATCTCCTTCCTCTCAGGAGTTCAAATGCCACCACATGAGAGGCTCACTGGGACTACACAAGAGAAAACAGGAAATCCCATCCCCCAAACCAGCACCCCGTTTTCCCCCTTACCTTGTTTATCATTCTCCATCAACCACCATCTAATTGACCATATATTTTACCTATTTATTGGCTGCCTCCGCTCACTAGAATGAAAGCTCGATGCGGGGAGAATTTTTATCTACTTTGCTTTCTACCATATACATCCTCAACACCCAAAAGAAGCCTAAGTAAGGGCTTTATAATACTTGAATGAAGGAACAACCTTTTCGAAAGCTGCTTTTTAAACAATAAGCATTTGTTATAACACCAAAAAGTATTCTGATACATAAAATCATAAATTGTGTTTTTCCAAAAACAAGCATGAAAAGGTAAACTAAATATTACTAGATAAAACATCAAGCACAGATATGCTTTCCCCTAAATGTAAACCATTAGTTCCCAAAAGGAAGCAAAGAAATACTTATGAATCCAATTTGCAAGAAATTAAAAACTCATTTTAAAGAAATCAAGAAAAGCAAAGTATGTTAGACTTTTACAAAGTCTAAGTAATTTGATCCCATGCCTCCAATTAAATTAATGTACTCTTTCTGTAAAGCTACAAGCTAAAGTAGAAAGCATTTACTAACTCAGCAAAACAAGCATTTCTTACTTGCCAAGCCAACAGGAAAACAGGAAGAGCAAACAGTGCAAGCTAGAAGAAACCTTAAGGATCATCTAGTATTAGCCTCTTTATTTTTACAAAAAAAAGAAACTGAGGATCTGAAACGACCTGTGGGGAACCGAAAAGTGTTGTGTCAAAATTAGCAATAACGGAAAAACACTGGAAGAAAAAAATCATTCTGTTCAGCTGTGATCCCTGCTATAGTAAAATTCAGCTTTTATAGAATTAGAGACAAAATACATCTCCATGGAAACAATATTCCCAAGTATACATGCGAGGCTGAGAAGGATGTTTTTCTATGCAGGTCTTCACAACCTATGTACACACACGGGATGTGGGGTGAGGAGGTACTGAAAAGAGCAGAGCTTGATAATCAGACAGGTCTGCATCTGAATTCTGGCTCCACCACTTACTTGATCCTAGGCAATCTTAGCCCTATCTAAGCCCCAGTTTCTTATCAGCAAGATGGGGATAATTAAGACATTCCTAATAAGTCTGTCAAGAATGTAAAAAAGTAGATGTTATCTAATTCAAGGATTCATATATTTGTGGCTACTGAATGCAAGCTTTCTGACATTTACTCATAATTGCATAATGCTTAATACGAATCACCACCTCTGGTTGCCTCTGTTAGTTTTATGACTAACATAATATTAATTGACTAGCCTATAATTAGAATTCTACTGAGAGCAGGGGGAAGGTACTGTTGATGTGGCTACCAATAGGAATTTCTTCATTAGTTGACAGCAGCCAATAGGTGCTCTTGTTTGAGGTAAAACAAAAGGTTGCTTCTGACTTGTTTTAAGATGTAAAGTTGAAATGATCTGTTTCTGACTAGAGTCATGAAGGCTGATGAATTACACTGTCTCGAAACTGGAAGGGATCTCGTAGGGCATCCAGCAAGAATCCTGCCCACAGTGCATTAGATTCTACTGACCGACCAGCGTCTGCTTAAGGGCTCCCAGTCCCCACCAGGCTTTCACTCACACAGGGGGCAGCTCATCACATTGTTTGACCCTTCGAATTATCAGAAAGGGGTTTTTCCCCACTTAGAATGGACAGGTGATGAAAAAGTGAATGAAAAGGTATAAATACTAACCCATACTCACATACTTTTGGAAATAAAAATCTTTAAGTATTGTTTTCATTTGGGGGTAAGAAAGGATATTCTATTTAATAACATTTCCATAATAGAAAAGTTCCAAAAACGCAATTTGAAGCTTATATTTACACCCTCATAACAAAACACATCCTAGAAACTCTGCCTTATTAATATATAAAACACAAAGAAAACATACCTGGGATGATATCATTGATATGCAAGAGAATTGTACTTTCAACACTTGCAAAACTACAAAGCTGCACGCCATCAAACCTTCCATCCCAGTTGCCAATAGGGTTATCCTACAAGTTAAGCAATAGAATAAACTTTAAAACCCTCTCCAATAAAGCATAAATATAAAAGTCTGTATTTTCCATAAAAGGATCCTCCAAAACATTTACATTGGTAAATTTTAACCATTTTTCCTAAAAGAAAAAAAGAATATATCAGGAATAATTGCCACAGTAATAAGGGGTTTTGTTTATGTTTATTCATCTCTGTTTTTGTTTTTGTTTTTGGAAAAATGAGATCCAAGAATAACCAACTACAGTAAACCCACAGATGAGCAAGGAGTCAAAAGTATTTGTCATACTTTACTGGACAACAAATATCAGTCTATATAATAACATCCATCTGCATGGGAAGATTTATTAATAATACATTATTTCACCCAGAAACCTGCCCCTAATTAACCCTAGCTTGCTCTAATCATTCCTTTATATTCCCCGAGCTCTTAAATCTTCAATTTGAATTCCTGTACGCCTTTCTATACTTGGAAAGTCCATTTTTTAATTGTTCGTCATTTTATGGGTCTGTAAGAATTCCCTCCAAAATGGAGATTTTTATATTTAACTATCTTATATTCCAATGTAGCACCAACTAGCACAGTGCTTTTCTTGGAGCAAGATTAAGAGATGTGACAGTCAGACAACTGCCCTAAGCACCACCAAGTACAACATGCTAAATGTCTTTGGAAAGAGAAGATGAAGAATATTGCATTTGCCAGAACATTCCTTTCCAGGAGTACAGTAGAAAGGTTTGGAATGAATACTTGCACAAGCTAGCTGGCAGACAGACAGAGGCATGGAAGGGGCTGCTGGGGCAAACCTCTAGGCAGCCTGCCCCAGTAAACAACATGATCCCCAGTCTATCAGCTTAGGAAGGGAAGGCCCACCTGGCTTTAACCAAGTTTAGGGCCCAAACGACCTGCGGCAAGGGGAAACTAACCCCAATGGCTAGTGGTCCTCTTTCTCCAATCCCTCTACCAGCCCACAATCTCTCCTCTAAACAAATACTGAATATTTAAAGAAGAGTGGTTTCAAGGTGTGCTCTATTGTTCGCTATCCTGAGGGACTCACATGTTTTACTCTGGCTCTAACTTTTCACATGGTAGATGTTTGTCTGAACAACATAGCGATGTTTGTCTAACTAATGGGTATCAAATAGAATTTCCAAGCACAGGATAACAGAAACTTATGCTAGAACGTTCAGACCCTGTCAAAAAGTATAACTGAATAGATAAAACTAAATGTACTAAAATGATGTGAGTACTCACTGAAAACATCGTGAGGACAAGAGTCTATTACTCACATCCTCTCCTAACTCATTGTAGTGTTTAATAATTCTGTGTGAATCTCCTTCTTTATATCTAACAAGTTCTTGTCCATATTTCCAATCTATAATTATAATCTATAATGTTCTCAGTTTTTTCCTTCTCCTTCTCTTAACTCCACAGGTATCATTCAACATGCCATATAGGAATGTATCCATTATTAACAAATATGATTATAAGGTAACATTAAAAATGAGTGACACAAAAGAACAAATATTGGATGATTCCACTTATATGAGATACCTAGAATAGGGAAATTCCCAGAGACAAGAAGCAGAATACTGGTTCCAGCAGACTGCCGGCTGAGGGAGGAATAATGGGGAGCTAGGGTTTAATGGGGACAGAGCTTCAGTGTGGTATGAGGAGAAAGTTCTGGAGATGGATGGGTAATGGTTGCAGAATAATGTGAATGTACGTCATGTCACTGAACTGTAAACTTAAAAATGGTTAAAATGACAAATTTTATGTTACATATAATTTACCACAGTAAAAAAAATATATTTTTGAGTGAGTTACATCCTAAGAAAATATTCAAATTGTCTTTTCCTGTAAAGCAATGTGCTTTTCCTCTGCTCAGGTATTTTCTGCATATGATTTTTACACTACTCATTAAAATCAGATCAGTCAATAAAATTTTGCAAAATATTACAAAAAGAGAAACACAGATTACCAAAAAAAGAAAAAAGCCTTTCAAAATAAAGAAAAATAAGACATCATGTAATGTATTTGGGTGGGTTTTTTTCTGTCTACTGGTCAGCTATCACACAGCAAATTTAAAGACTGAAAACATTATTCCAGTTTATTCAAACTGGAAAAAAGAAGAAATGTAATTCTACATCTAGACTCTTGTCCCGTAGCAGTGTTCCTTCACTAAAGATAAATTAGAACATATTCTTTACATACTCCAAATTAGTCCATTTTAAATATTCAAAGTGTTTAATTTGTATCTAAATTGGCCATAAAACTAAGAGATATAGTCACAAAGATAATATAATACAAAAGTTTCTTACCATGTCCACACCAACAAAATATCCTAAGCTTTCTTTTCCCGGCAAAACATCACAAAATATAACTGTTCCAGATTCTATAGTTTCTCCAAGCTTCAAAGAGACTCTGGAGTTTATTTCCAGAGGGGGGAGTTCAACCTGCATTGTGTCCACTGGACCTGCATAGTCACTTTCCAATCCATTGTCATCATCTTCTATGATTTCCAGCTTGTCCAACGCAACAAATACTCCACAATCTTCATCACACTGAAAAAGCTGCTTTCCTTGATACACCCCATCAGTGAAACCTTGGCCACGACCTTCGTCCTAGTTTTCAAATGAGAGAGAGAGGGAGGGGAAAGGGAGAGAGAGAAAGAGAAAGAGACAGAGAGAGAGAGAGACAGAGAGAGAGAGAGAGGAAGAGAGAGAGAAATATCAATTGATAGATAAGACAGACAGACAGATAAAGATGATCCATAAGATAAAATATCTACTCAGGGAATTTCAGGGAAATCACTGGAAAAATTCTAAATGACACACAAGAAATATAATTATTAGCAGTTGCTTTTGGATTTAGGGTGTTTAAAAAATAAGGAAGAAGTTGTATCTGATGTTGAAGTAAAATTACTTGATAATTTCAAATATAATTCCACTGTGAGAGAGCTGGGCTGGATTCTAATTTGTGTTTTAACAGTAATTCTGTCATAAAAAGAAAACTTTACTTTAAAAGACAGTAATGATAGCTCCATTTGGTAAGCACTTTCTCTGAGCCAGCCACCGTGCTGAACCTGAATCAATGGATCACAAAAACACTGCAAGCCGTGTACTAGTATCACTATCTTACAGATGAGGAAGCAGATTTAGAGAAGCAGCTTGGTTAACTAACCTGGCAACCCAGCTAGTAAAGGGACTCGCTGGGATTCAAATCTCCACTTGTTTTACAATTATTGCTTTAAATTTAAACCAAGATGCAAACAAGGCATGACATTCTATTTGCAAGAACGTCAAAATGTAACTGACATTTAAGTTCTTGAGAATTAATATTAATTTTGGAAACGTATCACAGAGTTCTTGGTTCTCTTTTCAGTAGGAATAAATTCTAAGATGATTTTCACATATATTATCAGGGACAACTAAAAGCAAGTCAAAATTGATGCTACTCATTAAAAAAAAATCTTACATCCAAATTGTATTACCCAATAGCACACATTAAGAAAAACTGAGAAACATGCAGATGATAATGTCACAAGACAATTAGCAATTTTGTGAAGTGATTAATTAGTTTACAATAGGTAGAGTTCATTTTTAACATAGACAATGTTAAAATTTCTAAGACACGAAAGTCTTCAATAATTACGTGATCTATTTGTACTTCCTACTGTGGTGGGTAGTTTTTCAAAAGATTTCAATGCGTCATCTTTGGATCATCTCAATTTATCATTAGAAAGTAAATCCTAAGGATGATGAATATTATAAAACTTACAGACGATTTCTGGGAAAATTTATTTTGTATTTAAAAGGGGAAAAAATGTGCAGATACAAATACACACAAACACAAAGACACACAGCTCACTAAAATGGTTTATCGAACTTACCAGTAATTCTACTCCAAAGAATATTCCCGATATTGTCCTCTCTGCTAATAAGGGTCCTCTGAAGCGCACAACTCCAGGAAACTTTTCTTCCCCAGATCTCAGCTGCACTTTCACAGGGCAGCCCACATCTATTTGGAGGCCTTTACTTAGTCTGTTTCTGTTTTTAAACAGGCTGAACCTCTCTTCACAATTGGTAATTGCCAAAAGCAACTCTGTGAATTTTTCATTTATTTCTACAACATCCTTTTCATCAACAAAGAGAACTGCATGTGGCTGCTCTAGAATTTTTAATCCGATCTGATTTTTCTTGGCTTTTGCAGAAGGAATCCTCGAATGTCCCACAGAACGATCTTGGATATACTGTCCTATACTCCCCTTGGGTACTTTAAGGAGCTTTTGTGTTTGTTTGTCTGTAACACTGCATTCTTGAAGAAGCAAATAAAAACTCCGCTCTTCCCAGTAGGGTGACGTAACTTTTTCTTGGCTCCATAAACCCGAACTCATTGTGATATTAACTCCAAAATATTAACTCAAAAAAAAGGGAACTACTAAGTTTGTAGTAAAACCGCAAAAGACAAATTCACTGGCAGTTCCAAAGCAAGTTTTTAGCAATTTGGTGTCCATGCTGTAAAAAACCAGCAAATCAAAACGCCTGGAGGACAAGCAAACAGAAACTTTACACTTCATTCATGAGCTACAATTAAGGTTAAAGACTTTCGAAAATCTCATTCGACTAGCAAAAACACACAAATGAAATACTTCCAAAAATATCTAAAAAGGTTAAAAGATAAATATTACTTGTATCTACTATAATTTTGCATGTTCAGTTAAGGAGATCCAATTGTAAAGTATCTTCAAAGACAATACACTAATGTTTGTTCCCAAGGCACCAAAATTTATAAAGTCAAATTCTAGTAAAACATAACCTTATATACATATTCTGACATTTTTAAACCTTAAACAGTAGCATTTGTAATAGATCCTTGTCTAACTTAAATGGATAAGCTGCTGTGTTTGGGCAAAACACACATACATCAAAAAGGCTATTGTTTCTGTACATGCAGTTTAAGTAAAAACTTATAATTATTATGTTAAACATCTTTATCAATAATATCATAAAATCACATTCTGAAACGTTAACCACAATTCATTTATCTGTGCGCCATATTTTGAAAATGGAACATTTTATCTCTGACTCAGTTTCATTTCCTTAATCTTATACATTTTTTCCTTAAGATAGGCAAATGTTAATCACATCAATCATAGCTATCATTTAATTTCTCAGAATCAGAAGCCGGCCCCATGGCCGAATGGTTAAGTTCGCGTGCTCTGATTCGGCGGCCCAGGGTTTCCGTGGCCCAGATCCTGGGCGCAGACATGGCACCGCTCGTCAGGCCACGCTGAGGCAGTGTCCCACATGCCACAACTAGAAGGACCCACAACTAAAATATACAACTATGTACTGGGAGGATTTGGGGAGAAAAAGCAGGAAAAAAAAAGAAGCTTGGCAACAGTTGTTAGCTCAGGCGCCAATCTTTTAAAAAAAAAAAATTCTTACAATCATAAATATCAGATATTGGAAATCTGATTATACTAAAGATATCTTTAAATATCAATTTTGTAGCCATCAAAACTCACACTATGTAACAAGGAAATAGAATTGCAGTATAGTATGGAACAAAATGTTTTCATACCACAATTTTAACCATGTATACTAGAAAGGAATGTACAAAAGATGATTTCTTTTTCAGTTTCAAATTTTTATTTAAAATTTTTACAAGAATACTAATCTTTCACAATTAAAATAGCCTTCTCAACCCTACTTTAATTGATGGTTAAAAACTATACAATTTCAGGGGCCGGCCCGGTGCCGAGTGGTTAAGTTCACGAGCTCCACTTCAGCAGCCCAAGGTTTCACCGGTTTGGATCCCGGGCAAGGACGTGGCACCACTCCTTAGGCCATGCTGAGGCGGCGTCCTACATGCCACAACTAGAAGGATCCACAACTAAAATATACAACTATGTACTGGGGGGATTTGGGGAGAAAAAGCAGAAAGAAAGAAAAGAAGAAGATTGGCAACAATTGTCAGCTCAGGTGCCAATCTTTAAGGAAAAACACTATACAATTTCATTAATTCAAATTAAGACTTTAAAATTCATTAATTAATTATCTCACTGAAAACAAGAGTTCCTATGCAACAGCCACCGAACTGTGGCTATCTGGTTTCAAAATACGGTACTTATTCCATCCTTCTTGGAGGCAGAGGTATCCATTTCCATTATTCTGGGTAACAGCAGCAGTTGATCGCACTATCATATTTATCTATCTTATTCTTGGAATTAAAAAACAATTACTTCTAAAACTAAAGAACCAAATTTTCAGTTTAACCATTTAAATTAATAATTAAATAATCTGGCAAACCTATACAGAGAACAGCATTTCTTTTAGAATGCGCTGCTTGATAATGAGGTACCCTGTAAAGGCGCAGTTTTTAAAAGTCCGTCCCTCGACAAGCCAAACTGAGACATGGAGATCACCAAAGACAGGGTAAAGAGTCTGGCACCCCTTCGCACGACCCTTACTGAAATATCTGCGCACCAGCACCATTTAGCGAGGGCAGGGGCAGAGCTAGCATAAAGTGGTTCTCTGGGTTTTTTTTTTTCGTTTTTTATAATATGTTTGTCTTAATTCCACTTGAGGGCACTGTCTACTTCGGCAGGAATAGGATCAATTTATATTTGCCACTTACACAAGACACCTGTGGAAACCTCTATCTTGGTACCATATAAGCAAAACCCCTTATGAGGGCTACCCAAACAGACCCAAACCCTCAATTTGGCTCTCTCTCTTTAAAATACCAAAATGAACTGTCTGCTATTTCTGAATAAAATTCTTTCTAAATGTCAACATCTTTCAACAAGGAAATAGCTTCATTTTTTTCTTGATCACTGAATTATCCATATAGATATAAATTATTATGTATGACTCTCAGTATGTAAAGGTGTTTGGTACTTGGTTAAAAGGCTTTCCGTTGTGCTTTCTGAGTTCTGGTGTCTGCTTTCTGTAGGTTTTCCACCCGTAGTTTCCCCTGCACTCAGCCATTTTCGCAGTTCCCTGCAGTGTGCATCTGACTCCTTTTATGACCTTGTGGCCTTCCAACCGACTGCTTCTAACCAGTTCTGAGAAGCCAGGTGATGACAACACGTTTGAGTGTTTAGAAAAACAAACAAAACAACAATAACAATAACTAACAACAAAAAGAGGAATCCATAAATTCTGAACAGGTCTTTGGGGAGTAAGCACACAGACTTTACGGCATAGACATTCCTTTGGTTGCTCCCGGCAGGTTGAGATGGTCAAAAAGCAGCTTCTAAAAAATTGAGTTGATGTTTTGTTCTCTTTAAAATTTATTTAAATATTTTTGGCCAAAAATTGTTTTTAAAGTATGGCAATTCTATTTTGAAAATAAAAAATTTTTTAATTCCTAAAAATTATACCTTCAAATGTTAAAATTAATAACTTCCTTACATCTTAATAATTATTATATGCCAAGAACTCCTACTCTATTGGTTCTCCAGCTTAACAATTCACGTCACAACTTACAATAAGAACAACCAGTGCTAATGAAATATTACCAAGACAAAACCAAATTACTCTGTGTCATGCATTAGGTCACTGTATTTTAAATGAATTGGACTACCAAAGTGCTTTTTGCAAGTCATCCAAGAGAGAGTCCACAACAAAATCTGATCTAACTACTTTGGTTTATAAAAAGATAGAGAGCAATTTAACAATAGTTATCAAAAACCGTATTTTAAAGTGAACTCTACAAGGAGCAGTAACCTTTTTCTAACCCGCAATAGCACAAGAGGGAGAGAGCTTAAACTCAATAACAGGATGGATCACGTGAGACAACTACAACAGCCAGAGCAAGAGTTATAAAATATTTAAAAAGCATTGTCCAAAAATAAAAAGGATGTGGTCTTTCTTCTCTTAGAAAGAATAGGTTTGGAACTACCATATTAACAACTGATGCTCTTCATTGCAACTGACAGAGAAAGCTGAATGGGGAACTTCATGGCTCTACTAGACGTATACAAGACATTAAATTTAATGATCACTAATATTTCAATATACTGACGATACAGCAGAATAAAGAGACTTTCCTCCCACAGCAGAAATGAATATAATGCCAACATTCTTCTTTCACTGGGATAGACACAACAGGTAAACTAAGTCTTAAGAGCCCCAAGCAGTAAAAACTGACTGCAGACTACATGGGAAAGATTTATATCAACTGTCAATGAGTTCTTTATCAATCAAGAAGGTTTATCATTTTGTTTAGCATTTTTATGCACTCAGCACAGCGTAAGACACTGAAAAATACAGAAGATTTAAGATACGATGGCTGCCCTCATTTGTGTTCTCTTACTACTTTTCAGGTCATTGTTTAAAAATTGCCTCTAATAATATACTTCACTTTATGATTCAACTAAATACCATCCTACTTATTTTAGGTTGGAAGATTGACTGGTTATGAATATCCTGATAATTATTATAAGTACTAAATGAAGATTACCAAAGAGTGGGAATACAATAACATATTTAACCCTAAAACCATATTGAACAGAAGGCCTTTCTTTTGAGCACATTAGAGATGAGGGAACAGTTCAGGGTCACATAGATTTGAAAATATATCTGGTTATCTGAGCTTGTTGATGGTCTGGATTATGAGTAAAGGAGAATTTAATTGTATTAAAATAAAGTCATTAAACCAAGATGAGTGTTGAAGGAACAAATACCAGTTTCCTGCCAGTGCAAAGAAAAGAAGACGATCAAGAAATAAGTTTGATACAAAAATATTAAAGGTCAGAATTATGTTCTAAAAGATTACAGTACAATGGAACAGTATTAGATACATAAAATTGACAACAGTTAACTATCTAGAAGATAAATGCCATTTTGATTCTCAAGATACTGTTCAAAGAACTTCAATACAGAAAACAAAGATCTAATTCAAAAATGTTTTGCATCTCCTGAGATAATCTGACTTGTTCTAAAAATCAAAGGAGGCTATCTAACTCAGAATAAAAATGACAATACTAAAATACTGCCCCTAATTATAAATGTCAAAGAGGTAGGAAGGTCAGTGTGAATACCAAAGAAAGAAGACACACGGGGACTTTTTCCCAACGCTTCTAGAGAGCTGGCACAATTACCATTTTAAGAAAGAATATCTCTTACTAAAAAAGCAATTTGTCATATTCCTAAAAAGCTGAAGAATAGAAATACAGAGAATCCATGACCAGAAAAGAGACAGTTTTAATTTTCCTCATAGATTAACTTGTGACCCAAGTACATGAGTATTCAGTCCCTGAAACAAGTGGGATGTATGAGGTTAAAAAAAAAAAATCTGCTCCCGTATCTGCATATTCATGTCAGAAGAAAATTATGAACACTGCTGTCTCGATAAAGCTAAACCTGGCCACTACACTTCCAAACTGTGAATTCCCCAAGGCCTTAATCTTTGTTTCCAGCGCCCACACCGGTGCCTGACAATATGGTAGGCCATCAGTTCAGGAGAAACCAATGAATGACTTGCTGAACTCAGGTGACAACAGTGAAAGCCATAATTTCATTTCCTATCCCAACTGTTTAAGTGACCAAAAGCTTCTTGCAAGTTAAAAGGAGAAAAAGAGAAAAGAAAAAGACTCAGAAGTTGACAGTACTTAATGATTTTTTACCTAATTCTCTGGATAAATACTAATTCTAATTCTCTGGATGAAATAAATCATGGTCAATTTCTACACCACTTCATCGTTACATATATAAGAAGAAACAAATAAGGAAAACTTCACAATTATGAAAACAATTTGAGATTCATTTGAAACTGGCTCCCTAGATCCTCAAACCATGTCTGATGCCTATAAATTCTGTACAACCAATGAAAATACCTCAACAAAGTTAAGAACACAGTGTGAAAATCAGGAACGAAATACTAATAGTTTGATGAATATGATGATTACTCCTGTTTCTCTTCTTGTGTTAAAGACGTCCTTAAATCAAACAAAATCACAGCTCCGTCGGGCATGCCAACAAGAAATCATTGCTGCTGAACGTCTGCTGTTTTATATAACAAGTGCCCTGGTCTTATCAGCTCTTCACAAAAGTAACCATCCAAAGGAAGCCTTCTTCGCATGGATACTGTATAATTCTGCAGCAGAACATCAGAGAACGTTCTGGGTGTTATCAACATTCACAGCACATGAACTTTAACAAGAATTTCCAGCAAATCATTTTCTCCTAATACTGTTCTAGTTCAAACCCACCCACTCCCCGTTGGGAACTGGCAGGCTAAATTCTTAGGGCCATTCAATGCACTCGGGGCGTGAGAGGGTGTGCAGAAAAGCAACATTTGAATGAACACCCTCTCTCAAGGCCTGGATTTTTCCTCTGGGAGCCAATGACTGCAGAGGGAACAATCTTATTAAGATCCCTATTAGCCGGAATAAAAGCAACGCAGGGAACGCTCCTCAGCCCAGCTAAGGATCCAACTTTTCCGGGAGACCGGGGAGAGCAAGGGGCAGGAGCGACGGGGCCGAGGCTGGAGGGCTGGGCGGCTGGAAGGTGACCACCATCCTGAAACCTGTAAATGCGCGGCGTGGAACAGAAAAGACGCCAAGAACACGAAGAACCGGGCGGCTGACCCAGCGCAGAACCAAACTCAGAAACACTGTCTTCCGCCCAGACTTCGCGATCTCCCCACAGATCGTTAATATGGCAATAAAGAAAACAAGAAGGAAAAGAAAGAGTACCTTATGTGAACAGAGAGCACCTTTCAACTAAAGGACTCCCGGCTGTCGCGTAAAGCCATCCTCACCCCGGGAAGGGGAAACTGAAAGAAAAAGCAGAACGCGCCATTAACGCGGCCAGAGCCCCGAGCTCTTCCTGGACCGGAGCCGCCAACACCCCAAACCGCCCGGTCGATGCGCCCCCGGCACCGAGGTGACACACTGCGGCCGCGGCTCTTGACGCCATCCCGGGCCGTCGGCGGCCGGCCAGCGGCCCGTGCCTCAGTTTCCCCAGCTGTAGGGGGCCGAGGAGAGACAGGGCTCTCTTCTGCGTCCCTCTTGCGCGCAGGTCCGGCGGCGGCGCCCCCGCTCCCCGACTCGGGAGCCCTCCGGGCAGGCCGGGGGTGGGGACGCCCGGGGGAAGCCCGGCTGACGTCAGCGGGCTCGGGCCCCGCGGGCCGGGCCGCCTTGGGGCCGGCGCAGCTAACGGGCCGGCGCTGAGGGCCCGGCGGCCGCGCCGCGGCTCCAGGCTCCAGGCTCCGAGGGCCGGGGTTGGGGGCGCCCGCGGAACCCGAGCCGCCGCCGGTCGCCGGCTGCGCCGCCCGCTCGCTCGCTCGCTCACCTCGGGGGCGGCCGTCGCCCCTTCCCGGCCTCGCTAGCCCGCGTCCGGCGCCCCACAACCTCCGCCCTACTACTTACCTCCGATGCGCGTTCCCCGCGCAGCCGAACCTGCTACCTGGGCCCGCCCCCACCTGCCCCGCCTCCGAGCCGCCCCGCGGGGAGGGAGGGAGCGTGGGCGGAGGGGCAACCCATCGAGCCACCCAATCGCAGCCCGAGCTGCGTTCCTGCGCACGCTCTGATTGGGCCGCCCTGTGACAGACCTTCCTCCAATGGCTGCCGGCCCGGAGCGGACTGAAGGGACTTTCCGCTCGGTCAAGCTCGGTCGAGCCAAAGGGAAAGCGGAGGGGCGGGGAGGCGGCGCGGGGGTGGGGGCGGAGAGCTCTGGCTGATTGGACGGCCGACTGCGGGGGCCGCGTACCATTGGTCGACGCCCGAGCGGGGCGGGGCGCTCGGTTGCTCGCCGCTGCGCCTCCGGGGCCGGGCTCAGCTCTCGGCTTAGCTGTCAAACCCGCGCAGACTGAGTTTGGGGCTGGGCTGGGGAGCAGTCCAGACTCGAGCTGGGAATAGGATTTCAGGATTCCATGAAAAAGCAAAGCTTTAGAATCAGACCTAAGTTTGAAGTCTTTGCGCTTCCAATTAGTAACCGCGTGACGTAGAGAACTCAGAACCACGCTGAGCCTCGATTTTGTCATCCGTAAAATGGAGATAATGGAATCACCTATCTTACAGGATTGTTGTGAAACACCGAGTGTAAGGCTCCTGACACACAGCAGCAGCACAGACGTGTTAAATCTCTTTCTCTTTCTCAGATCTGGCCTGGGAACCCTGCTGTTTCTGGCCCTCTGTTGCTTCCCATCCCGGTTCCGAGGGAGGTCTCCCTGGGGTGGTGAAGAAGGGATTTCAAAACACCGCCTCGTTCAGCTGTGCACCCCTGGCCACCAGCCAGAACTTGGGGTGTAGTTAAGGATCTTTCAATTAGAAGGGAGGTTTCTGATTCCCAAAAGTGCTCAAAATATTTAAGGAAGTGCTTTTTATAATCGGTCCCAGAGCCTTGCAGCATGCCTTGCTGCACTGGATACTCCCGTTAATTAATTCCTTCTCTTTTGACATTTTAAGTACCAATTATAGGAGAAGGTGATTAATACTGAGGGAGGAAGAGGGGTGTGTGTGTGTGTTTAATCACGAGAGGGAAAACTTCCCCAGTGGAAAGTGACATTTCCGAAGATCTGGGGAATTTAAACCAGTGAGTATGTAAAACACGACACGAGTGATTACTAACAGTGGTAGTAAACAGACCACCTCTCTCTATAAGCACCCAGAATGAAATGGACATCTTCTGAAAACCTCAGCCTCAATCCGCTCTTGTCCCTCCTTAGTCCATCCTTATCCCATTTCCCAAGCCTCCTGACCATACTGCAGTGGAAAGCAATAAAGTGGGCATCAGCAGGCGTGGCTGGCAGTGTGGCCTTGGGCAACACTGTCTCTTCGGGATCTGGATTCTCCAATAAAGTCAGTGGGACTCTGAGGTCACAGTCCGGCTGTCAAGGAGAAAAATTCAGCCTGAAACCTTTTTTTTCCTTAACGCACACAGTAAGGAGGAGGAATGAGAAGAACAGAGTGGGAGAGGAAGATTTTGAATCCTTTTAGACTAGGTCAGTACTCTCCTCTCTCTGGTTTGCCACACTCCTCACCATTCCCTATTTTATCCTCCTGGCCCACTTCTCTCATTTACATTGTCTACTGACCCCTGAAGGTATTTGAATTTGCCACCCTTGATCTAAAACAACTTTCTGTACTTTCTGATGATGACGTTTGGTGCTGCTGAGCGGTGATCAGATCCCTTGCTCAGTCCTCCTGTCACGCATTCCCTGATTCAGACAGTGTCAGGGCCTGACTTCATCCAAGAGATATTCTTCTAAGCCAGGCCTGATAAACAGGGCTTGTGTCAATCACCGTCTCCTATCAATTGGTAATGGCTGCCTAGAACACTGTGTTGAAAACAATTCTGAAGCTGTATTCAGGCTCACGGGGAAGAGAGATGTCTGCCAGGGGGTGCAATGGGGGAACAGTGTCATGGTGCTATTATTTGCAGTCCCTGATAAGCCAGCTTCTCATTTTACAGATCAGAGACTAAGGGCCAGACAGGCAAAATAACTTGTCCCCATTCACCCAGGAGATGAGCCGAGACCCTGATTCTCCTGATTTCAAGCCACGGCTCTTCAAATGGATTCTCCAAGTGAAACGCACATCCTCTCTGCCTTCCAAATCCTCCCTTCATTTAAGGCCCAGCCAAAGTCCACCCTCTTCCAAGGGGCTTTCCAGATGCTTCCAGGCCCCGCTGCTCACCTCTGTGTGCCCACCACTCCACAGCCTGTTCCACTCTGCCTGGCCCTGGGTTCACATGACCGGTGGTTGAGTTACTGAGCAGGTACCAGGAAACAGCAGCTATAAGACAGATGCCCCCTTGCCCTCTGGCAAGGAAGGCAGACCTTAAACAACTAATGACCCGATCCCCTGCTTAATTACTGAGGTTAGAGTTAGCCTCAGAAGGAGTGCTGTTCTGAGCACACACAGGGGGAGGCTGGGCACTCAGGGAGGCCTGTCTGAGGAAGTCACCTTTAAGAGGAGGTAGGAAAGGTGGCTGGTGGTCTAGGGTGAGGGGGAGCACTCCAGGCAGAGGGAACAGGAACATGCGTGACACGTTGAAGGAACTGAAAGAGGCAGAGCACAGAAAATGGGGGTGCAAAAGGGCCGGTCAGGCACGGCCTTGTGAGCCACGGCCAAGTGCTGGTCTTGATCCCAAGAGTGGTGAGAACCGTTTGAAGGATTGTAGGCAGGGTAGCTAATTGCAATTCTAAACCGTGTGGCATAGTTCTCTCATTGCAGAAGCAGGAGCCCAACCAAAAGCCATTGAATGGAATGGAGCTCTCTCCCCCAGGAGCTGGGAACCTCCTGGGAGCCTGTGGGGACCCACAACTTACACCTAGTCAGGACTCAACAAATCCTTCTCAGTAGCACTGGTCATGGTTATTAATCAGACCCTGCCCCCCGTTTCTCAAATGGCTACCACAGGCCCCCTCCTACTTCCCGCCTCACCAAATTCAGTTTATTTTATACCCTACTGCCTACTCAGCACCTCCACTGCACACAGCCAAAGTGGATTCCTGATATTCCCCACTCCCACTGCTGTCCTTCTGCCCTCCCCGTCTCAGTAAATGGCAACTTCCAGTTGGTCATCCAGTCTCCCATGCTTCCCACCATTTTCCCAGCACTCCTGAGAATGGGCACATTCCGAGTGAACTCTAAACCACGGGGCTAAGTGGCCAGCATCCCCGCAGGCCGGGGCACCATACCAGGGCTTTCTCCAGTCCAGCCCAGTGCATCAATCAATGGGTGAGTTGAGAGTCCTCTGTCTCCAGGGCGGGCTTATCTCTTAGTGAGGGAAAATTCCAGGTGCAACTGAACATTCTGTCTGGGAGCTTTGCCTCCAGCCACCTAAAAGCTCTTTTTGATAAGATAAAAGAGATTACCTTAATCATCTTTAAACTAATCCCACTGAACTATAAATCCATGCTCTCCTGTTTATTTGCTGTTATCAATGACAAATGATTTCTATGTGATTTGAAAAACACACACACACAGAAAAAGGGTCTAATGCTCTTCCTTGGGACCATTGCGCCACATCTGGAATCCCATTTTGGGCAGTAGATACGTTAGGAATGACCCCACATCCCAGGAAACCTTCCCCCCTTAGGAAGGAGATGATACCAGTGTCAGGAAAGAGATGATCCATTATTATAATCTGCCCCCTTTAAGTAGGGGCACCTACCATTCAGTCGACAAATATTTGGGCACCTACCATGCCCTAGGCACTGCGAGACCCTGAGGACACTGCAGTGAGCATGGCCTCTGTTCTCCTGGAGCTGACATTCTAGATGAAGGAAGAAACACATGTACATCACGTAGTGCATGCTGAGAAGAAAACATGAAGCAGGGCTGCGGAGAGGAGAGTGGTCGGGACTGCTATTTTAAGTAGATTGTTTGGGGAAGGACTCCGTCAATGAGGTGACATTTGAGCAAAGACCTGAAGGAAATGAGGAAGCCAGCCATACCGCTATCTAGAGAAGAGTGTTCCCATAAGAGGCAATAGGCGGGCGCAAAGGTCTGGAAGCAGCAGTGTGCTTGGCATTGTCAAGGAACAGCCAAGGAGCAGTGTGGCCAGACTGCAGAGAATGGGGGTGTGAGTGGCAAAGGGGAGGCCAGAGAAAACACAGGGGTGGTCCAGGCCTGCATGGAAGCTTGACTTTCACTGTGCGCCAGATGGGAAGTCCTGGAGAGCCTAGATCAGAGCAGTGGCTGATCTGATTTATGTTTTAACAGGCTCAGTCCAAGGGTCAAGGGCAGAAGCAGGGAGATCAGTCAGGATGCTGATGCAGTAATCCAGGCAGGGGTGGGCCCCAAAGGAGCCGCTTGCTTCCTGGGGGTGGGGGAGAGCAGGTGAGGAGGAGGGAGAGGTGGAACTGAAGGTGCCAAGAAAGAAGTTGCAAATGAAAAAGAGCTGCTGCCCTCCTGAGAGGAAGGATTTTCAGGGGAATTGATGGGGGAGGGGTGACGTTTAGGGGATTGGATTTGTGGATTTTTCTGGAAGCGATGATAGGTTGGGGTTAAATTTAGAGCAAAAAGAAAAACGGTATCTTGGGGAATCCCAAGACTTGGATTGCCAGTCTGCACAGCTGCTGTCTCTCCCCATGTAATTCTCCAAATGCTCAGACCAGTCCCCGATGTCCTTCATGTCCTTGCTGTTCACCTGTAACCTGCCACCCAGGCCCAAGGCCACGCACTCTCTCATGTGTGGGCATTCCAGAGTGTGTACCCTGACTTCTGTGTGCTTCACCCCCTGGGCTGCGCCAATCCCCTGAGTGGGGAGGGAGGCGGTAAGATGTGTTGGTGCAATAAGGAAATGATGCTGTAGTCTCAACTCAGCTTGCTCGGAATACGATTCACCTCCCACATTTCTGTGGGGTGTATTCATTTCAGCATCTGGTTTGGACGCTACGGGGGGAAAACACTCAGACTGACATTTTTTTTTCCTTCTAGGATGATGGTGAATGTAATCAAAGTATGAGGTTCTTTAAAAAATTCTTCTGCTCTGATACCTTTTTTCCTGCATATATTCTTAGCCACAAATCTAGGGTCTGTCTGCTCCCAGATAAGCCACTGGCCCTGAACACACACCTTCCAGAAAACCTCTCTATCAGAGAAGTTTAAGCTTAAGAGTCCTGGGTCACGGGCTACCTGCACAGGCCTAGAATGCTCTCAGTGGATCTGCTGGACTTCCCCAAGTTAGGAAACCTGTGTTCCTCACATATCAGAATCTCAGCAGCCCTCTCACCTGGGCCCTCTTGAACTATTTTCTCCATAATCTCCCCCTGGATTATGTCCTCCAAGCCCAAGGACCCCATTCCTCTTTCGATGCTGAGGACACCCATGCTATTGTATCCGGTGGTGACTTCTCACGGGCTCCAGACTCACACCATAACTTGTTAGTTCCACTTAGGTGTCTCAAGTTTGACAATCTTAAACAGAAGTCCCTCCCACTTCCAAACTAGTTTCCTCCCTGTCTTCTCCAGTCTCCCAGTTACTCAAGTCAGAAATCTAAGCGTCATCCTTGGTTCCTCCCTTTCCCTCCTCCGTCCCATCCAATCCATTTGTAAACCCTTGGGAATCTACCTCTAGACTGTCTCTGGAGTCTGTCTTTTTCTCTCCACCTCCACCGATGCCACCTTAGGCCACCAACTGCCTCTCACCTGCAGTAGCTCCTAGGTGGTCCTACGTGGTCTCCCTACTTTCTCTCCCCCTACCCCTACCCCTATGCATTCCAGTCCCTTCTCCACTCAGGACAAAAAAGATCTTCTTTAAATGTAATTGGGTTGCATCCCCCTTGCTTAGAACTCTCCAATGGCTTGCCATTATTTTAAGATCAAGAGCAAACTCTTGCCATGGCCAACTAGGCCCCTCGTGACTGGCCCCACCTACCTCTTCAGACCCATCTGGCAACACTCTCCCCTTAGCTCTCCTCAAACGCATTCGTTGGCTATGCTACCGTAACAAATTGCCACAAACTTGGTGGCTTAAAATGACTCAAATTTATTCTCTTACAGTCCTGGAGGCTAGAAGTCCAAAATGGGCTGGAACCAAGGTGGCAGCACGACTGCACTCCGTCCAGAGGTTCTAGGGGAAAACCTGTGTCCTCACCTTTTCCGACTTCTAGAGCTGCATTCCTTGGCCCATGGGCCCCTCGCTCTACCTTCAAAGCCCTCAGGGTAGCATCTCAGCCCAGTGGCCACATTACCTTCTTCTGTGTCAAATCTCCCTCTGCCTCTCTCTTATAAGGACGCTTGTGGTGGCATTTAGGGTCTATCCAGAGAATCTAGGATAATCTCCTCATCTCAAGATCGTTAACTTAATCACATCTTTAAAGTCCCTTTTGCCATATAAGGCAACATTCACAGGTTCCAGAGACTAGGCCCTGGATATCTTTGGACGCCGTTATCCAGCCTACCACACGCACCAGGCTCTTTCCTGTGACCGGTCCTCACACAGCTTCTTCCCCTCCCTGTCATTCTTCACACAGCCAGCCCCTTCTCATCCTTGAGAGCTCACCTGTCACCTCCTCACAGAACCTGTCTCTGACCAACCCTCAATCTGAAGGTCTCCCTCTCTCTTGATTTCCTTCTTAGCGTTTACCACAGTGGACCTTATTTCATATATTTTCCAGTTTACTTGTTCTCTGCCTGCCTCTCCCTCTCCCCTCACCATAAATGCCTTGAGCCCAGGGGCTGTGTCTGTTTTGTTCATCTACCGATTATCCTCACATAACTGGCTAACACAAGATTGCTGACTGAATTTAAGGAAGATGAATTTACAATCCGAGATGGTGCCATGCAAATAGGCTTCTGTGTTTACTCCTCACAGGAAGCCTCTCCGTCTTCCTCCTGATCTTCTCTATCGGGAGCAACGGTCTGCACAGAACCTCACACCACCAACAAAGAGACCGCATAGACACAGTCACACGCAGGAGCCCGGGGAGATGCCACGCCGTTTAGGGAGCCAGGCACACATGAAACCTTTCAAGGTAAGCAGCCACCTGAGCCGTTGCTCATTAAATGCAGCTAAGAATTATTTCAACAAGGCCTACACAGGAGGCTGCTTGCTGAGGAAAGCTTTCCCAAATCGTCTCCATCTTTCTGGTAAAAGACTCCTTGAGCCACTTGGAGAGTCAGGGGAGGCCCAGGGGCCTGTTCCCATTTACTGCAGCCTTTTGGCCTGGGCAACATGCGGCTCCAGCACAGCTCAAAACATCACGCTAGGTCAGACTTTTCTAAGCAGAAGCCAAACGTGTTCTGATTGCAAGCCTATTTCTAAGAACTGCTTTTGCCTTAAGCAATAAATTATCTGGTCGAAAACATCATTTTTCTCCCTTCAAGTAGAAAATTGTGCTCTAAGATTTGACACGTTTCAATAATATTTTAAAATGTTCGGTCACAATGAAGATAGCTTGGGTGACTCAGTGGTTTTCTCCTCTGTGATTATTTACAGCACAAAATTCATAGTCGTGTTTTTTATAAAAATATAATCTTGGGAGAATAAAACAGTGGTTTATAAACATTAACCAGTTTTCATGAATAATGTTTAAAATAATAACACTTGTACAGCATTTGACAGTTTACAAAGGCTTCAACATGCATCATTTTGAAAAATCCAGAAAAATAGTTGTTTTATAAAGGAGGGCCTTCAATTTGCCCCTGTAAACTTTTGATCCATAACTTTATATCCTAAAACATTCTGGCACAAATAAAACTGAAGTGTCTCTTATGAATATATTTTGAAATCTGCTGTCAGAGTTCAGCTCACAGGCATCCACCAGAGAGCTGGTGAAGCCATTCAAAATTCTGGCCCAGGGGCCAGCCCCGTGGCCAAGGGGTTAAGTTCGCGCACTCCGCTGCGGTGGCCCAGGGTTTTGCCAGTTCGGATCCTGGGCACGGACATGGCACCGCTCATCAGGCCATGCTAAGCCAGCGTCCCACATGCCACAACCAGAAGGACCTACAACTAGAATATATAACTATGTACTGCGGGACTTTGGAGAGAAGAAAAAGAAAAAAAAAAATGAAGATTGGCAACAGATGTTAGCTCAGGTGCTAATGTTTAAAAAAAAAAAAGATTCTGACCCAGATTAATTTTGAACGCCTACATTTGGAGGGAAGTTGTTTCCAAAGGCTTATTGTAGTCATGCCAGTGAGTCGATTCTGACTCCTGGCGCCCCTCTGGACAGCACAGCAGAACCCTGCCCGGTCTTTCTATGCCATCCTCTCACCTTCCGGCGCCGTATCAGAGTGGTCCACTGCCATTCACAGGGTTCTCATGGACAATTTTTTCAGAAGTGGTGGCCAGGTCCTTCTTCCTAGTCTGTCTTAGTCTGGAAGCTCCACTGAAACCTGTCCACTTGGATGACCCAGCTGGTATTTGAAATATCAGTGGCCCAGCTTTCAGCATCACAGCAACACGCAGCCACCACAGTGTGACAACCAACAGACAGATGGTGTGGTTCCCTGACTGGGAAACCCAGGCCACGGCAGTGAGAGCACCGAATCTTAACCACTAGACCACCAGGGTTGGCTTCCAAAGGCTTAACCAAAGAGTAATTGATTTTACTGGAAATAAAAGTCCACGTGTGATACCAGCTGTAGTGTGGTCATATTTTTCCTGCAAATCTAGACTATCTTGGGGAATAAATGGCTGCCGCGTGTCCCCTTCCAATAATGTCTTAAATACCAGGAAGGAAAGCAGGGTAAATTATAGCCCCTCCCACTCTGGGTAACAAGGGTAGCGGGTAGGGCGTGGCTATTAGGGAAATAACAAAGCCGAAGACACCAATATTTTGAATCCTCAACCACAGAGGAAGTGCCATGTGCGGGGTCCAGGATGAGTGGAGGAACCATATGTGGGGAACAGCTGTGAGGGATGACCATGAGTTGAGACATGGCAGAAAGTTTCTTCCTGAATCCCGCTTCCTTGTGAAGGAAGTAGGAAGGAGCCTCTCACGTGGACCCAGGGCTCTACCCCAGGAGGTGCTCAGTACCATGCGTGGCCCACGGACCCATGCCAGATCAGCAGGAGGCTAGCCCATGACGTAGCCGGGGCTGCCCCTCTGCTATTTCCCATGGATGGAATCTCGGGAAGAACTCGATGGCAAAGGTAGGCTGTGGAAAAGTCTATTCCGAAGGGCGCCGATGCTCCTTCCTCTGCCAGAACCGGCTGCTGCCAGATGGAATCCAGCCGCTGGGCTCCAAACCCCCGGCCTGCTTGCAAACAAAGTGAGAGGAACACTGGCCCAGAGACATCAAAGCAGGAGTCTGGCGTCCCTGTGGCTGAGCTTCTCAATTTCCTCCGGAGAGAAAGTGTTTCCTCGGAGCCTAAAGGGAATGAAGCAAAGAGCTGGGAGTGAGGGCAGAATCAGAGCAGCGCTTTCAAATGGACACTGCTGCTTTCTAAACCCGTGCCTGGACGGCTCGACCCTGGGCCCAGCTGCGGCCCTCCTGCAAGGGAAGTCTGTGCTCATTTTACCCTCTGCCGGCTGGGGCGGCTCATGAATCATCGTGCAGGATGAAACAAGGCTCCGTGACTCGGCACAAAGAGTCCACAGTGGCCCAGTCGGCCCCGACTCCCCAAGGCCGGTGATTCTTTTTCAGGCAACAGCAGAATCTGTCAAGAATGCAATGAGCAAGTCCTGATGCCTCCCAAGCTCCACCAACAGGCAGCAAATAACATCAGAACCCTTAAAATATCAACCCGATGCTGGCTTCCTCAGCCCGGATACAGAAGGTGACATTCCTCAGGACTGTGCAATGGATTTAAAAAAATATCCTGACTCTGCCCAGGACCTGAGGATCTCACAGGGTACAGGGATTACACAACTGTACAGAGAAACATCTCTCCATCACAGGACAGATTTTTAGAAGTCTTTATTTTTGACTTCATCATTTGATATCTACCTATTTGATATCTGCTGCCTTGATATGCTTTCTGAGGGAGGGACAAGTCTGCGTATTTATAGCAGGGGACGCAAGCTTCCAGGGATGAGGCAGGTCAGAGACAGCAGCCAACGGGACCTGGACCAAAACAATCAGCTGGGCAGGTCTGTGGTCAGCCTGAGCCGGTTTGCCCAGCTCAGCGGAGTCAGGCCTTCCTCTACTTAATTACTGGCATTTTGAATGGTGGTCCAGAGTTGCCAGTTTTTCTGAGAAAATCCTAAAATATAGATTTTTATAGGGAATCTCCCAGTTTTAAAATACTGCTTTCTAGCCCAGTGCCTGAAACACATATAGTGACATTCACTCATACCATGTTAAACCAATGGAAAAATTTCTACTTATCATCTGAGTGATGGAAAGAAGGAGGATAAATCTTTGAAGTTGTGACTCAAAGCTTTTTTCAAATACACGAAGGAATATGGCTTTTAATTATAAAGATTTGGGAACACTGTGCAACCGTTTCCACCGTGTCGCCTCCATCCAGAACTGCAGACGGTCTGACACAACAGCCTCGACCCGTGAAGGTGGATGTAATGCCCAGGAGGGCAGGAGCTGAGTTTTCTCTGTTTCACTCCTCAACCACATCCCTCTTCCCACACTATTGACTAGAACAGAGATGTTTCTGAATTCATGATTTGAAAATAAAAGAATTGGTCCCTGCTTAGAGATGTGAAGACAGCTTTCCCAGACAGAGAACAAGATCCATCACATGCAGAAAACCACGGAATGTCAGAGCTGGAAGGGGTCTTAGAAATGCTCAACTTCCTCTCTCTCCTCACCGCACTTTACAGATGGGAAAACTGAGGCTCACAGAAGTAAAGAGGCCTGCCCAGGGCCCTTACCAGACTTCCAGGATGGTGTCGTTCCGTTCAAGGGTCTGTAGGAGGGCTTCTGCCCCTCGGTAGGTGATACAGTTGTTGGACAGCCTGGAGAGGAAGATGGAATGGTGAGCCTCAAGGATGCTCGCTTCTCCTCTTGAGCCTGTCCAATTAAAGGAGGCTTTGGGAGTTGACTGGCCCACTGCACGCCACCTGCCCCCCGGCCTGCCCCTCTCCTGTCCGAGATTCCCAATGAGCTCGTCCACCAGGCTCAATGCCTAAGATGAAATGCACCCCTCTCTCCTCCATTCACCAGATGTGTTTCTCTAATTCAGTAGCTATTCCCTTGGGAAGATGTTATACAGCATGGCGGGCAAGGACAGGCATGTTACTTCCTGGGTGCCAGATGTCCTGCGTTCAGATCCTGCTTATACCACTTCCTTGTTGATCTCAAGCAAATTAGTCCCAATTTCCTCATCTGTAAAATGGACCTGAAAGGGTACCCACGTCATGGAGTATAAGAATTAAAGAATGGCCTATTCGAAAGCACTTGACGCTGTACTTTGATAGAAAACAGTCCACGATCAGTAACATTTTCATCTGGGAGGCCTTCGGGGCACAGATTAGGGAGAATATGAAGTTGGGATGGGAGGGAGATGGCACACTGTCACGGGCAGCAGCAGAAGAGCCGCAGTTCCCCATGCTGTTCTTTGGCTCAGAGCGTGGGCTTCTAGATAATCCCTACCCCCTGCCTTCCACCTCCACAATTCCAGGAACTTCTCCAAAGCTGACCACAAAGCAATGCCGACAATAACAACAGCCAATATTTGTTGAGTTCTTACTACGTGCCAGCTCATCACCTACGTCACCTCGGTGCACGCGCACAGCCCTGGGAGGAGGGTCCCATTAGAATCCCCATTTACACTCAAGGCAACTGAGGCATAAGTCCAAGGAGAAGCACACGTAACGGGGGGCTCGGGTGCAGACCCAGGCCGCCAGGATCCAGAGCCTGCTTCATAACCAATGCTTGGCAATGACTATGCCTGGAAAAAGAAGCACGTAGGCATCTTTTTTTTTTTCTTTTTTAAGATATATGAGGAGCTCGATTTTTATGGGGAAACAGTGGGGGATGATATAGTTCAGTGATGCTGAAATATAAGACTCTCAAGAAGGCAGCGTGGGACAACTCCTGCTGCCACTGCCTGGCAACCATGGGGGTCGGGTGCGGTAAATCTGTGACAATGAAGGAGGACAAATTCACCACGTCCACGCCTGGTCAATAATAAACCAGTATTGCCAAAGGCCCCCTGTGTACCAAGCCTGGCATCCCAGCTCAGACAAATCCCGGCCTCCCCCGGGCCTCTCGGCCCACTGTCACCCATGTGATGACTGGAAGTGTTTTCCCCAAACATTTGGCAACTTCCTAGGCCCTGCAAAGCAGCACAAACAAGTGTTGCCAGAGTGGATGGCAGGCTGGCAGCAAAGCAGATGCTCTCCCAGAGGCAGTTGTCTGCCTGCCTCTGAAGGAGGGTGTTTTCCTTGGGCCATATTTGCCAGGGCAAATGCCAGCCTCCTCTAGCAAAAGGAGCCATCTGATGATGCTATGATGTCTCTGTGAAATGGGACCTCTGGCACCGTGGCTGGTGTGGTGCCAGCCTCAAAGAGCATTGACACAAGCCTGTGAGGGTTACTAGCTGGTTTCCTGCTCACATCAGCCATCCCTCTCCTCGTGGAATGGGTCCCTGCCCGCTGAGTCCCCCACCAGTGGTCCCGGATCACTTCCTCACCAACACTGCCACTGTCCAGCCCTGCAGCCCCTGGGCCCACAGGACCTTCACGAGCTCCTGCCCCCTCCCACCAGCTTTCTCCACTGCCATCCGCCAGAGCCAAGTCTCCGCCTTCTCTCCTTTGGAAGACAGAGGGAGCCTTCTGACTGGTCTTCCTGCTTCCGTCTTGCCCCTCTTCCACCTGTTCTGCACAAAGCAGCAAGGAAGATCTTGTGATGCAAATCAGATCATGTCACTGCCCTCATTAAAACCCTCCAAAGGCTTCTCAATGCCCTTAGAATAGACCTGAAATCCTTTCCAAGGCTCTGAGGCCCATGTGGCCTGTCCCCCACCTCTGCCCCATTCCACTCTCCACTACAGTCCAACTACACAGGCCCTCCTTCTGTTCTCAAAACCTCCAAACTCGTTTCTGCCATAGGGCCTCTGCATGTGCTGCTCTGTGCAGCAGGAATGCGCTTCCCTGAGACTTCAGCAGGGCAGAAACCTTCCTGTCATTCAGTTTCCAAAGCAAATGCCACCTTCTCAGAGAGGCCTGCCCAAGCAGCAGCCAGCCCACCCTCTCCAGTCCTCCTTGTCACACCTTCTCAAATTCTCTGTAGAGCCCTTATTACAGCTTAATGACGGGGACATGTTCTGAGAAATGTGTTGTTAGGTGATTTCATCATTGTGCAAACATCATAGAGTGCACTTACACAAACCTAGATGGTATAGCCTATGACATACCCAGGCTATATGGTACTAATCTTATGGGACCACCATCGTATATGTGGTCCGTTGTTGACCAAAACATTGTTGCACGACGCATGACTTACTAACAGAAATTACCTGTGTATTTGTTTACTTGTTCATTATCTGTATCTCATTAGAATTCAAGAGCTATGAGAGGAGGGGCCTGCTCTGTCTTTTCTACCACTCTATCCAGGTGCCTCAGTCAGTGCCTGGCACAGAGTGGGTGCTCCAGGAACATTTCTTGTATCAATACACAAATGGATGAATGTATGTATGAGCGCATGACAAACGAATGAATGCACACGTGAATAAATGCAAGCACTCCTGCATAGCACAACAGGAACCACTGGAGATGACCAGAAGAGGAGCTCTTTTTCCCGAGCCAGAGAGGCCCCTGGAATGGGGAGGGGCTCTTCTGCAAGCCCTGTAGCAGAGGGGGTCCGTAACCTGTACACGTTCGCTCAGCTTGCACCTCCAACTCCGAGAGCTGCTTGCTGGGAAAACTTCTACTCTCTGCCTGAGACCCTTCTATGGACCCCGGGAGCATGCTCAGCCATGCACAGGGCAAACCGGAAGTGCTGGAAAATTGACAACCCCACAAGCATACTTCAACATGCGAAGGACAGGCAGTGGGTGGATAAACACCCTGCTGGGCCGGGGCGCCTGTGCTTCCCCAGCAGGACGAGTCCATTGCCCTCAGTGACAACTGGCTTGATGACACCCGCTTTCTTGGTTCCCTTCCCTTCCCCACCTCATTTGACTAGTCTCTCACCAGTGCTGGCTGGAATCACCTTCGAAGGAAACAACTTGCACTGGCGTCCCTGCCTGCGCTCGGGGAACCCAGACAACACCAGCTGTTTTCCACCAGGCCACCGCGTGTGAGCTGGCAGGCTGGGGAGCTGCCCAGATCTCTGATGCAGAAACCCCCCTCCCAAGGCCAGTCAGCACTGTCCCGGCTCCTGCTTACGGTTCCTTACTTCAGGACCTTCAAACTTGAATTTCTCTGAAGTCCTTCAGCAAGGGAACACACACCTTCATCCTGGAGATGGTTCTCCTCCAGACTGGCAAAAACAAGAGGGAAAGCCCAATGGATATGGGAATGTCCACTATAAAAGGTGATGTCAATCAAGATGAACCCACGTACCCCCCATTTAGAAAATCCCACATCTGAAACCCTACATTTACAAATAAAGTGAGAACAGACAAAACACGGTATCAGGGTTCTCAATTCCAGGGACATCTTTGGGAAAGAATTTGCCCCAGGGCTCCGTTGCATAAGAAGTTCCCTCATGTCCCCGTGACTCGGTATCCATTTTCCCTTTCTTTCTTATTAATAGAAGCCTAATTTTGTTTGGGGCAGCCGTGTGCTTGGTGAAAAACTACATTTCCCACTCTCCCCTGTAGCCAGGGTTGGCCAAGCGACACCCACATCCATTAACACAAAGGGGAAGCTGACGGATGGGGCTCCAGCAACTGCCCTTTAAGTGAGAGAGAGCCAGCTGGCCTGTGCCTTTTGCCCTTTCTGGATATACAGACTGAATCCTGGAATATAGAAGTAGTGTTGCAAGTGCAGCAGCCACCTTGTGATCATGAGGCAACCAACCATGAGGATGAAGCCACAGACTGAGGATGTGATGGCACAGAGAGAGAGAGTCCAGACCCCTGCTGGCCTTGTGTAGCCATCACACTGGCCCTAGGCTGCCTACCTCCAGACTGCCTGTACATGCAACTAAATCCTGACTGGCTTAAGCCACTGTAGACAGAGGTTCCGTTACATGCAGCCCACTCTAGTCATAGCTGAGACGCTCACAGCAGGGTACTCCTCTAACAAGAAATTCAGGTGGCAAAATCCAGTCAGGATCCAATCAACGGTCAAAGCGGAGCTAGTGAGCCCTGCCCACAGCCAAGGCCCGTGGACAACACCATCGGTGACAGTGCTCATAGGTTTCAGGGCCCTTCTGCTTTCCGAAAAACTCAGCATTTTATCTCCCTGATATAATTTGGAACTGCCAAGAACATGTCACAAGAAGACTAGATTAGAGGCATCGGAAGCGTGGAAAACTTGGAATAAGTTTTGGGTCAACAGTGTAAATAGGACTCGTGGTTCATCTTTTAGCTTCCCCCAAGCTCCACTCCACCTTGCAAGGTGACCCTGACTCTAATCCCCACTGTTCTTTGGCCATCCTCTTCACTCTGAAATAGTAAAACACTACTAGCAGTCATGGTACTAGTAGTAGCTGTAGTACCAACAGCAGCAGCAATAGTAGGAGTAATACTGTGTACAGTACTGTTAATACTGTAGTACTAATACTGTAGTAATACGACTAATGCTGTAGTCATACCGTGTACAGTACTGTTAATACTGTAGTACTAATACTGTAGTACTACAACTAATGCTGTAGTCATGCCGTGTACTGTACTATTAATACTGTAGTACCAATACTGTAGTAACACCACTAATGCTGTAGTCATACTATTACAATTTAACATTTATGGAGTGCTTACTCATACGCCAGGCACTATATTAAGCTCTTTACACTCATTACCTCATTTAATTTCCACAGAAGTGTGTTATAGTTGGAAGCATTCATACCCTCATCTCGCAGGAAAGAAACCTGAGATTCAGATTGTTATTTAACTTGCCCAAGATCACAGCAGGCCTTGAAGCTCAGCCTGCTTGATTCGAGAGTCTTTGCTCTCAACCGTTATGCCACACGGAAGCAGTAAACAAACCAACAAACTAATACACAGAATTAAATCAAAAGAGTTACCGCCTATATGTCAAGCTCCAGAATCTTCGTGCTACTCAGGACACAGACAGACAAGCTTAATCACCCACCTGCTCCATCACCCGCCCTTGTCTTATCCACACAACTGCTCCCGCGATGAGGCCAGGGGAGGAGGAAAGGCTCTTATCTGCCTCCCAGAGAAGGGGTTCCCCCAAACTCACCAGAGTTCTTCCAGCGCCACGTTCTTTTCCAACATCACTGCTAAGGCTTGGGCACCCGCACTGCCGATGCTGTTCCCCACCAGGCTGGATGTAACCAAGGAACAAAAATGTGCCAGAGCAGGGAGGGACCTCAGAGACAAGCTGACCCACGAAGCACAAAATGCACGGCACACAGCCCCACGTCCTCAGCTGCTCCACTTCAGACATCACTAATTGATTACAGTGCTCTTTGTCATTAAGCCCAGAAGCAGCTTAGCATCCTTCCCAACATGGTGTACTGGGCAGCCACCTCTGATGGACTGGAGTTGGTCACTGAGATAAAATGTATCTGATCCAGCCCAAGATCTGCAATTTACAGATAGGGAACCAAGACTCTTGAGAGCTGAAGGGACATCATCTCCAAAGTCACCCACAAAGACTCAAGTGTCCTGACTCCAATTCCAAAGACATGGTCGTTCTTTCTCACCTCACTGCCTAACACAGAGGGTAAAACTGAACTTCAAGGACCTTCGAAACTGGCCCAAGCTCCTCAAGCCCCTCCCTCCTCATGCTGGCTCCCCCATGACAATTACAGGACAGACACTGACGCTTACCTGAGCCACTTCAAGCTGGGGTGATTACCCAAGGCTTCAGCCAAGGCTTGGGCTCCCTTATCACCCACCTTGTTGCCCCAGAACCTGAAAAGGCCAACGGAGTCAACAGAGAGCATCCGTGAGCACATGTTCTAGACAGGCGCTAACAATGTCCTTCCTCTCTAGGGTCCCAGTCAGAGGGGCAGGACCACTCGATTCCAGACAGGTCTCAATGGGGCTCCTAGGTCCCAGCAAAGTAGACCTGCCTCCTTTTTTTTGGAGGGATGGCCAAATTTCACGCAGATGTTTTTAACTGCTTTAAATTAGATTTACAGAATAGTAGAGGCCCACCCAGCACAAACCCTCAGGGACGGGGACCTCACTCTCCGTGGCAATTCACATGGTTGTGACATTCTTCCTCACATTTAGGTCAGATCGGCTTCCTGGTAACTGCCACCCACAAATCCTTAACTACCCTCTGGGACCACCCGGAAGTCTAACTCTTCTCCCACGGCCGGCTCTTTACTGCTTGCTCTTTCTTAACATCCCCAGTTCCTGCGTGGTATCCAGCTCCTTCACCCTGGAGGTCATCCTCCTCCGACCTACTGTAATTTGGAAACATCCCTTTTCAGAGGGGGAGCCCAGCTCACACCGTGGGACCAGCTATTTTCCATATGGGAAGTTAGCCTGCACAGGTATGCGCACGAGCGAGCGAGAGAGCTGACCCAGGACGTTCCCTGCACTCCCATCCATCAGGCAAATATTTACTGAGCTCTGTGCTCCAGGGACATGATGCCGTAACAGCAAACAACGTCCTAAGTGTGCACCAACAGGGGACCAGTTAAATAGATTACGACATCCAACCAGTGGAACACTAAGCAGCTAGTCTTTGAAAAATGAGGTCATATGGTGTGAAAAGATGTCTATATATTGTTAAGAAAAAAATTGCAAGTTACAGAACAGTTTGTATCACATGATAGTGTTTGGGGTTTTAGCACAGTGCCTGGCCCAGACAGGGGCCTTGGTAAATACTAAGGATAAAGACCCAGGTCTGCCAGATGTGACCTCAAGCAGGAAAGTGCTCAGTGAGGCTGTGGCCCACCTCGTTCTAGACTCTGCTGCTACCAATGCAGCTGGGAAAAGGTGTTGATCTCTCCAGCAACACTCTCCTGGCTCAAACTCAGCTTGTGGGCAACTTCCCTGCCTGTGAAATGGGCTGGAACACCTGGGCCATATGGTTATTCTGTCTTCCTGGAGTCTCGGGTTCTGAAACCCCCAGTTCTTGTCAAATGGATCCCAGTTCACACGAGGGCAAGACTGGACAGGAGAGGGGCTGCAGGAGGCAGCATGGGAGCCACCCTGGCGAGCAGTTGCTCTGGCCAGCAAACAGAGGAAGCCCCACTCTGGGGCCCTGCGGTCTGCCGGACTACCCTCCCACCTGTGTCTGACTCCCCTCCTCTCCCTGTCAGGCCCTGCAGCAAGCAAGAGCTCGGAAGGGGCTGGTAAAGCCCCCTCCCATCCTGGCTCCAGTCTCCAGCCTTCCCCACTTCCGCCTCTTCCCTCCTGTCTCACCCCTGGCTGCACAGCCTCTGGGAGCTTTTCAAAGTTACTGATTCCTGGGCCTTGCATTTCATTTATTTCATCTGGGGTGGGGCCCAGGCAAAGGCATTCTTCAGAAGTTCCCAAGTGGCTAGAACGCACAGAAAAAGGTGAGAATCACAGCGCCAGCACCCCGAGGACCAGACGCTTCCTGCCACTGCGTGGGCACTGCCCTCCCCCAACCCAGACATCCTGAACTTCCTGTTTATCGAGTGACAAGCAAGCACCGAGGGAGCCAAGGGCCACCCACTCTCTCCCTGCCTCGCCCTCCTCACTGCAGCCCGGGCTGCCTCTGGGGCCCTCTGGCGGAAGGGTTTCACCTGCCCCTACATCGTCACAAGCGCCAAGCCCCTCTGTGCGGCCCCTTTGCCCGGAATCCAACCTACCCCAGGAACTGCAGGGAGGTGTTGGCTCTGAGCCCCTGGGCCAGCACCACGGCTCCCGCGGCAGTGATGTGGTTATTCCCCAGCCTGGAAGGGAAGACAGAGGAGGCTGAGAAAGGGGGCAGGACATGAGGACCATCAGTGCTCTCAAGGCCTGGGCTGGTGGGGAAGGTGTGGCCTGGTCAGAGAAACATGGAACAAAGCTTGGAGGCCCTCTCTGGGACACAGGAGCCATCCGCTCCTCTCACGCTGCCCAGCAGACACAGTGTGTGCTGCTTGTGCTGGGGGCTGCGGGGAGCCTACGCACTGGCTCCCGCGACTTCATGTTCCACAGCAGAGGGAAAGGAGTGGGGGAGCCTGTTTTGCAAAGCAGTGCGACCAGTAGAGCAGGAGGCACAGTGGGCAGCTGTCCCGGGAGGCAGTTCCCCCGGGGGAGCACGAGTGACTCACTGTCACATCTTTTCCTGTCTCAGCGTCTGCTGGTCTGTTGGCACTAGACTCCTGCGTGCCCCCTGCAGCGTTTCAGGATCCACTGCCACTGTAGGTAGCATTTACCTGTTCTGAAAGAGCCTGGGGCAGGCCCAGGGGCTCAGAGACAGGCAGGGATCCTCCTGAGCCTTCCGGCGGGGGCTGGGGAGGGGGTTTCAGCAAAATCCAGACACCTCAGAGAGCTTCGGAGAGATCCCCAGAACTCTCACCCACAAACTCAGGCTTCCTGGAATAATAACACGCCTTCATCTTTTCAAAGAATTTTCACATCCTTTAAGCCACTCCCACTCACTACACTCCTACAGGGCAGCATTATCATCCCCTTCCAGAAGGGGTGTGTCAGCCCCTCAGACCTCCAGCTTTCGTGACTGCAGTGCTGGGAATTTCACTGCCACCTCTGCACCAGGGCCTGCCTCCCACAGCCTGCCCCCAGCCAGTGCCAGGAGACAGGCGATGCCTCCGCCGGGCAGACTCGCTGGAGGCCTCCCCAGCAACCTTCCATACTCTCTCAGAAAGGCAGGGAAGTCTCAGATGCTCCCTTCCTCTCTCCCTCGCTCAGGGTCAGCCCTGCGCAGCAATCTGATGACTCTCCCCGCCTCTGCGGCTCCCTTCCCTGTTTCCCCTCACAGGCATTTTCCCAATAAATGTGTTACACATCGAAGGCCTCCTTGGGAGGCTGGACTAAATAGGATAAACACACTGAGAACGTATGTGACTCACTCTCGCTCTCTCAGCCACTGAGCTCACCCTGTAACGCACCCACTATATTGTGTATACGTAGAGTAACTGGCTTAATCATCACAACAACCTGTGAGGTAGCTACCACTAGTCTCCATTTTACAGAAGGGAAAACAGAGGCACAGAGACATTGGGCTGACCCGAGGTCACACAGCTAATGAGGATTCAAACCTTGCTCCATCTGGCTCCAGAGCCCCATGCTCTCAACCACGATGCTCTCTTAGCCAAAACCCCAGGCCTCGAATTCCCAGTGCAGCACCTTCCCGCTGCCCACAGCCCTCCCAGGGGGCTGGGCTAGCCCAGGTCTGGCCACAGCCACTCTCAGGTCTGCGAGTCTGGGGGAGCCGGTGGTGGCGGCAGAAGAGAGTCCTTGGTTAGAATGGCACCTCTGGCACTGGCCTTAGCAGCCCCGCCTGAGACGGAGCTGCGTGGTCAACAATTTACAAATGGCGGTTCCCATGCCCAAACCCAGCCCAGTGGGTAGAAAGAATGGATGGAAGCAGTTCTTAACTTTGTCTTCTTTTACTGCCTCGTAAATCCAAGAGGCAAGAATATCCCAGAGAGAAAGAGAAGCCAGGCCAACGTGGAGACCCGCTGGAGCAGGGATGCAATGGTGTCAGAGAGGAGAGAGGCTCCCGCCGAGGCCAGGAGAGTGAGGAGCGGAAGCACAGACTTCCCAGGCTGCGTGGAACCCCGCACCCGCCAGCAGTGATGGGGCCTCCTGAGAGCTCTTCGGCCACTGCTGTCACAGCTGAGGTGGCAAGTGTCTGGCGTGTACCTCCCCCCGCAGCACGGGCTCCATGGACACCAGGGAAGCCCAGAGAGTTTGTGATACTCCTAGACACAGGGAAGGAAAAGGGCCTAGAACCCTCTTCAGCCCTGGAGACTAAAGGTCAAAGGGCAGGGAGCCCTCAGCAGAGCGCTCCGGGAGTTTGCTGGGGAGTCATAGCATTGCAAACCCTGCTCAAAAGGAGACCCCACCAGTATCCAGCTGGGAGAGCAGGAGCCAGCAGTGGCAAGCCAGGGCCCAGAGCAGAGCGACTGCTTGGCTGTGGGAAACAATCTCGGGAGCAGGGAAGCCCTGGGCTCACCTGAGGGCCAGGAAGTTCTGCTTGCACATAAGGAGCCTGGCCATGGAGTGTGCACAGCCATCCGTCAGCTTGTTGTTGAACAGACTAGAAAGTTCCATGAAAGAGGAGACATGGAGACAGCATGGACAAGGAGAGTGACCACCCAAACCCCTGGTAGCCCGTTCCCTCAGGACAGGAGTCACCCGGCACCCTCCAGCCCTCCAGCCTCCCGAATGCCCCACCCCAGGAGGCACAGCCGAGAGTGAGGCTGGGGACACTGGGTCCCAGGTCCATGGCCAGCCTGACTTACGCTAACTTCTGCAGCTGCTCGCAGTGAAGGGCACGTTCGATGAGCTGGCAGATGCCTCGGTCTGAGATGTTATTATCTCGCAAGCTAAAAAAGACAAAATAAATAAATTTGAAAACGAGCTGATGAGATCCTGAACAAAACCCCAAAAGAGACTTTTACTCGTCTGCAAAGTGCCAGCATCTGTGCTTCTGGGAAACACCACAAAGACGGAGCACCCCAGCAAAGGGGAGACTCCCTCCACCCCTGGCAGGGTGCTGACATCACACACTACACGGGGGACAGCTCAGGAAGTGGGGACCCAGAGCCCTGCTGACGGACACGGAACCCCCGGGAGTCAGCGCCCCAATCCGAGGCAGTTTCCAGCTCTGCAAAGTGGACACGAGAATCACAGCTGCCTCGCAGAAGGTTCTGAGGTGGGAAGCACCTGATGCCCATGAAGGTGCCAGGGAACCAGGCAGGGGACCCCTGGGGGCAGTGGTGGTGACCGCTGTCCAGGCGAGCACATGGCAGACCAGCTAGAGGAGAGCAGCCAAAACTGGAAAACCAGCATGCAAGCTGCGGTTAGTGAGGCCCCACTGACCAGCCCTTCACTCCAATGACATCACTCTTGCAGGCCAGATCCCGCCCAGCAGGTCCCCTCTGATGCTCCTCTTGGGGCAGCGTTCCTAAAACTCACCCAATGACAAGATTGTCTGAAAGTGCCCCTGAAATACCGTCTCGTGGGGTCCGCATGGTCTTCCCCTTCAGGCAAACTTGGGGGGGGTTTAAGTGATAAAGGTGACAGCTCAGGCTCGCTCGGACTCCCTCAGTGGAAGTGCCCATCCTGAGTGGCCACTTATACTATCTGCTGGTCCCTTCATCTGCCGAAAGGGAAGGATGGCATTGCTGACCTCACCGGCCTGGTGAGGATTTAGAGACAGTGCACCGGACAGTGCACCCAGTGAGCACGTGGCACCAGGTAAAAGCTACCTGTAACCATGATGGGTCACATGGACAGCGCATCTGATGTGCTGGCACTGTCCCAAGCACTTCCCAAGAGTAATAGTATTTAATCCTCACAGCCCATGAAGTAGGGATTATGAAGACGTCCACTAGACAGAAGGAAACTGAGGCAGGGCAAGTGAAGTGACTTCCCCAAGGCTGCACAGCGCCTAAAGGATTTGGGCCCAGGTGGTCCGGCCCCAAAGCTTACTCTTAACCATGGCATTGTGTGGCTCTCCTTCTGGCCTTCTCTGGGCTCTAAGGTCAGATTTCATAACCCACCGATGGGTCATGAAATCAACTTTGAAGGTCTTGAGCAGCATTTTTAAAACAGAAAAAGGACAGAAGAGAGCAGAGTGTATCAGAGTGAATAAGGGAAAGTCATTCTCTGAAGCCTTTGTTTCAGCTTTACATGCCTTACTTACTCACTATGGGTCACAGCCACAACACTTTGAATGCCATCCCCCTAGAGACAGAGCCAGGGTCTAAAGAAACCTATAGAGGGACACTTTGTCTCCTGGGCTTCCTGGAGGCTGAGGGTTTCGGTTGTCAGGGAAACACTTCTAGTGGGAGAGATGCAGCTGGGCGGGACTGTGCGCGAGGAGCGGCCTGTCTCCAGCCCCCCTTCCCCTTTCCTTCCCTCCCCGCCTCCCACAGTCTCTCTGTGCGGCCCCCCCACCACTGTCTGTCTTGAGTCTTGGTCTGTCTCTGTCTCCGTCCCTCTCTCACACACAGAAAAGGCCCACTCAGCAGCCTCACGGTTGCCTCCCCTCCCCCACAGCGCAGGGTAAAGAGCAGTGGAACGTGGTCGAGGACTTTAACTGCTAACGGAAAAGGAGGCTGGTGCCCACAGACCAGTCATCTTCACAGCGTGGCCTCTGAACCACTTGTATCAGAATTACTAGGTTAACAACATAGATTCCTGGGCTCCCAGCCTACAGGATGGGAATTGCTGGGAAAGGCCCAAGAAGCCGCCTTCCACGAGCCCCTTTGCACACCACACTCTGAGCACTACAGCCAGACCGTCCTCGCATTTCTCTGAAAATAGAGACAGGCCCTCAGCTCCACACGCCGTGGGAGTCCCGTGGGCTTTCCTAACCGAGGAGAAAGGATCCATTCATTCTCAGGAAGGCTCTGTGAGGACCAGCCAGGCCAGCGGTTCCTGACCTCTTGGGGTTCAAGGACCCCTATGAGAACCAGGCATCCTCTATCCAGAAAAATGCACATTCAAATGTCTTCTCTGCCTGGCTCTCAGCCCTGGGGGGCGGACTCCCGTCACCGGCAGCGACAGGCACCCACTCTGGCCCCCTGCTTAGTCAAGCCAGCAGAAGGCCCTGGCAGAGGCAGGAGGGGAGACGAGAGCAGGGGCCAGGCTTCTCCCCCAGGCCCCGCTTCGGGGCAGCTGCCACCCCATGCCTTCCTCGCAGCCAGTGACTACTCCTTCCCTGCCCATCCAGGCCCCAGGAGGAGAACAACCCCGCCCACCCCGCCCCAGCACCCTGCCCCAGTCCTCTCTGCTCTTCCTAATGCCTGCCCAGGCCTTTGTAGACAGTCCTTTGTTAAACTCTTCTCAAATCACCCGATTTAAGTGTATCTTCTGTTTCCCCTGATATATTCATATTTGTCATATGTATTAACTACATATAATAGACACATTAACTTGCTATATGTTATAGATTATATTATTATTATTACATATTTATAAACTTATGGCCACGGTCCCTAAGTAACAGATGACAAAGGTCACCACACAGTCTCTAGTAGATATCTGCGTGTCTGCTTCACTGAGAAAAGAAAGCTTGCTGCCTTGGCCTAGAGAAGGTATGTCATCCTAATATATTCCAGGAGAGATAAGTCCCTTGCTTAGGGTCAAATAAGGTCACCCGGAGAGGACCAAAAGCCCTGGGAAGCTGTGAGTAGACATTAACCTTAAGCTACAACCTCTGCTTTCTCAGAGGTTACAAATACGGAGCAGGACATCCCCCTTCAAGGCTGGACAAGAAGTTGGGAGGTTGTGGCGAGCTGGCTGCCACACCTGGGCACGCTCTCGGCCCTCACCCGGCCCAAGACATGGAAAGAGGGCCCCGAGTGCTGGGCACCGACGTTCCAGAGGGGGGACCCCACACCTTCCAACAGGGGGCAGAAAGTAGCATGGGTGATGCCAAGATTTCGTTGGACACAGCGCTACATAGGGAATAAAGGTGCAGACGAAACTCTGCAGCCACTTCTCTTTCTTGGGTCCCGAAATTCCCATCTCATTGGGATCTTCGTCACCTCTGATGTGGGGTCGTTCCTAATACAGACACATATTACACAAAACTGTGCACGTGACTTCAAGGTTGTCACGGAGCCTCTGAAGCCCGTCCATAGACAGTTTGCTTGGGGGGAGCAGGGCTTCTAACCAGAAAGGCATAATTTGTGAATCCCAGCTCTATGTGACCCTGGACAAGCTACTTCGCTTCTCTGAGCCTCAAATCTAAGATGATGGGGTTAAGAATGTCTCTGCTGCAGCCCAGAGTGGTTGTGGGGATTGAACGGGGTAATTCCGGGAAGCGTCCAGCGCAGCGACCATCACATAGGACGTTCAATGAGTTACGCCCATCATTATCCTTTGTTTAAACTAACACCCACACTGGAGAGGGGGCCCGGGCAGGGCTGCACAGAAAGGGTGGCAGGGCATCCCAGCATGGTGCTCCTGCACCGGCGCCTCCATGGTGGCATCCCCACCGTGCCCAGCCGGCATCGCCCAGCAGCACTCACTAAAGAGCAGTGCAGACGCTGAGGCAAGGCAACAGCTGCTCCACGCCAACGTCGCCCACAGAGTTGTGGTCCAGCTGCAAGGCCACAGGCCGCCGGAGGTGCCGCAGCACAAAGGCCATGGCAGCACACTCGGCTGGGCCCACGCTGCAAAATGTCAGCTTGAGGTGCCCGACATCCAGCCCACGCACAGCCTCCTGTGCCAGCCGCTCCTCCTGCATCTCGTACAGGCTCCGGATGAGCCAGATGAAGCCGGGCATGGCATGCATGCTCTTGGCCTCACCTGCCACAGCTGGTGGGATGGAGTGGAAATGCTTGTGGAGGCTGCGGGCCAGGCACCACCGGGCACAGGCCTGGCGCTGGCGCAGGGCAGTCTCAGACCCCTGGCACTTGGCCAGCAGGCCCCGGTGCTCCCGGGACAACAGTCCCGCCAGGAAGGCGGCTGTGATCTGGAGGTTGTGAGGCTCGGCCTCCTGCAGCAGAGCTTCCACGCTGTCCTCCTTGCACCTCGAGCCCTGCACGCACATGGCGGGCAGCAGCCGGGCCAGCAGCGAGCTGCCTGGCCTGCCACAACTGAAGAGGTATCTGAGGGAGGATGGCGGCACGTCAGCACTGAGGACGAGGTAGAATGCAGCAAAAAAGCACTGGAAAGTGATGTGCAGGAACTCCATGGGGGGCGCACTCCCAGGCACAGCCCTTTTGGCACGCACCAGGAAGCCAAGAGAAATGTCCTCACTGTCGACATGTGCTGCCTGGAGCTGCTTGGCTGAGAACACATAGCAGCACGTGCCCAGGCCCCAGAGAGCCAGCTGGCCGAGGTGCAGGAGGGTGGGGAGCCTGCCTCGAAGCAGGCCAGGTTCCAGACCACCGGGGGCTGAGTCTGGTGGGGAGGCATGCAGCAGAAAATGCTGCAGGATCAGCAGGTACATATCCGTGGTGGTCTTTGGGGACCCCCCACCCTGCAGCAACAGCTCCTGGTGGCATTTGGATACCATCCATGAGAAGACAGGAAGGTGGCACAAACCGTGCAGGGCTGAGGTCGCTCTGAGCAGGGAGATGAGGCGGTCAGCCAACCCAGGCTCGCGATGGCACTTCCTCAGGTACAGTTCGATGCCCTCTTCCGAGAAGCCCTTGAGGGTGAATTCCGTGTGCACGTACTTCCTGAGTAATGCCGACACCGCATCCGGACGGCTGGTCAGCACCTTGCGGGCGTTCTTTAGCAGGTTGCCCTGCAGAAGGTTGAAGAGCAGATTCTGGACAGACGTGGGGTCGGTCGGAGAGCAGTGACGCTCGCCATCCGTGAACCTGAACCTGAACTCGTCAAAGCCATCGAAGGTTAAGAGGACGCGGTCAGGGTGGTCAAGGAGAAACTGGAAGACGTCCTGCTGGCCAAGGTCAGGCCAACAGCAGTGTTCAAAGAGCAGTGCCCGCACGGACAGTGGTTTTGCCAGGCACTGGAGCTGCCGGCAGCTGAACGGGAAGACAAAGAGAAACTCCTGGAAGTCCCGCCCCGCAGCCCACAGCAGGTGCAGCTGCTGCAGGAGCGTGCTCTTGCCGCTGCCCGCCTCGCCCACCACCAGCACGGTGTCCGCATCTTTGTTGAGGTGGCCACGGGTGCTGAAGAGCTCCTCTAGGCCCAGGGTGGCAGGGCTCTGCTGCGGGGGTCCAGCCATGCCCAGCTCCGTCCGGATCTCCAGAACATTCTCTGTGTATATTTCCTCCAGGCAAAGATTTTCTGCCCCATCATAGGTGTTCAGAAAGCGAGACTGAGCAGATACCGTGGTCCTCAGCTTGGACATGAATTTCTTACATGCGGCATCTGGAAGACAGAAGAGGGAGATGATGTGGGACCGGGGGGAAGATGGGACCTGACCAGAGAGTGGGCTGCGTGGGGTAATGTGATGATACAGATGGGAGGGAACAGCCAGCAGGTGCCAGTCTGGCTCTCCACTCACATGGACTTTGAGGACAGTCACGTAACCTTCCTATGCCTCAGTTTCCTTCCCTGTGAAGTGAAAGAAATGGCAATCCCTACCTTATAGGGTTTCTACATGGATCAATTAAGATAATGCATGTCAATGCTTCATTCAGTGTCAACACAAAGTGTGCGCTCCAAAGACGCTAGCTGGCATTGTTGTAACTACTACATCAGGAAGGGCTGGAGAGGAGGAGGAGCACCTGGCTGGGGTCACAAGACCTGCATTCCGATGCCTGTCCTGCCATATTGACTAAATGGCCTTAGATAAGTCCACTCAGCCTCAGGTGCATCTTTGTAAAGGGAAACAGGAGGTTTAAGGGCTCAGGAGCCCAGTTTCTGCAAACAGACCCGAGCCTGAAACCTGGGTCTGCCATTAGCTTAGGCAAGCCTTTCTGGCTTCCATAGTCTTTTTGTTGGTGGTGGTGGTGAGGAAGGTTGCCCCTGAGCTAACATCTGTGCCAATCTTCCTCTATTTTGTATGTGGCACGCTGCCCCTGCATGGCTTGATAAGTCATGTCTGCACCCAGGATCCAAACTGGCAAACCCTGGGCCACCTCCAGAGCGGAGAGCACGAACTTAACCACTATGCCACTGGGCCAGCCCCAGTTGCCCCCAGATTCTTATCTGTAAAAATGGGGACAATTCATACCTTGAAGGATTGTTTCAGGCAGAAATGAGATAAAATAGAGTTTAGAAGAATGTCTGATATATGGCAGACTCTCAGAAAATGGTGTTTATTACCATTATTATGAGTGAGTGTGGTAGGCACAACAGGGGCCCCTCAAAGATGTCCACATCTTAATCCTCATGATCTATGAATATGTTACCTTACTTGCAAAAGGGACTAGACAGAGGTGATTAAACTGAAGACCTTGAGATGGGGAGATTATCCTGGATTATCTGCGTGGAGCCAGGACTGGATGGCCTCAGGGTCACCGGGATGCCCAGGGCAGGCACTTGGCCAAGGTCCCCTGATCAAGACCCCCTTCCCCATCCTCTTCACACAATCGTCTGCAGTCTGAGCTCTCATGAGGAGGGTGTGTCCACAGGGCTGCTGCTTTTCCTTTATCACCCTAATGCCAACATGAGCAAACCACTTCCTGTGTCAGGGGTTGGTTCCCCCTTTAGGAAATGGGGAAGTGGTAGTCCAGAGTCCAGGGTGGTGGGACCTCAGAGCATGGTTCATGACCACGGTCTCACTGCCCCCAACCAAGTTCTGTACATTTGTTCTCAGCCCTAAGGTGAACAGCTAACTCTTGCAGAGAGCTCTGCGCACACGGAAGCTGCATCTGCAGTCACACAAAGGACGTGCCCTGTGCTTGCATTTCCTCTCCTGCTCCCAGGGCTGACAATGCTCATTGCTCTTAATGCCCTCTGGATAGACCAGGAGCACTGAACGGAGACCACAAAATAGCTTGTCTCCTCTCCAATATCCTGATTTCCAATGCAGGTTTTCCAGCCATCACTAATAATATCAAAATTCTCCAGAAAAAAAAATTGTCTCTCATTTTGAAAACAAACACACATATGTCAGTCGTCACCGCTCAGCTCATCACCCTGGGGAGTCTGGTACCACAGCACGATGCTATGACTCATGGACGGCCAGGTGTGCTCAATGAGATCAAGAGTGGACATTAACCAAGGGCCAGGCCGGGCACCCCTGCCCTGCACTGACATCTGCGTGCTGTCCTCGGGTGAGAGGGTGCACACCCAGGCGCTGCGCACTGGCTTCCAGCCATCCCTCCCACAGGTATGCCCACTGCCCAGAGGGCAGGGCCCAGGGAGAGAAATCCACCTGCTAGCACCCGCACAGGTCCGGGCCCCCAGCAACTGAGCTTTCCCTACGGTGACATGGGAACGAGACTGGAAGAGCACCAGGCTTGCGTCCTCTCTTTACAGCTGACAAGCTCTCCTCCCAAGAAAAGAGAAAGCAGAGGTGGAGACAGTCCAAAACCAGACCCACCCCCCCCACCCCTACCTCGTCACTCAACCTCCCCGCCTCAGTTCTCACGTCTGCAAAGTGGAGAAAACAATACCTACTTCTCAAGGCAAAGGACAGATAGCGTAAACAAAGCACCCAGCAGGATGCCTGGATGTCCAGGCTGTGCCATCCACCTCTCTCAGTCCTGACTCCGGCTGTGACCATGTACAATGAGAGATCCCACATTATCTAAATCCATTTGGTCCTTGCGTTTCTTTTTTTTTTTTTTTTTAAAGATTTTTTATTTTTTCCTTTTTCTCCCCAAAGCCCCCCAGTACATAGTTGTATATTCTTTGTTGTGGGTCCTTCTAGTTGTGGCATGTGGGACGCTGCCTCAGCGTGGTTTCATGAGCAGTGCCATGTCCGCGCCCAGGATTCGAACCAACGAAACACTGGGCCGCCTGCAGCGGAGCGCGCGAACTTAACCACTCGGCCACGGGGCCAGCCCCGGTCCTTGCGTTTCTGATAGTGAGCAGCTGAACTGCAGAGATCAAGAGATACCAGCCCTGTCTCAAAAGGTGTATGCACATCTTTTCAGTACAGATAATGTTTGGCTCGTAAGGAACTCCTGTATTAGCCCTCAAAACAAGGCAGCTTCAGTGATCACTCTGCAGTGTGGGAAGTAATAAAAGCTAACCCCTATCACACATGTTCATCCTTTTAATCCTCCCAGTAGCCCAGAGAGACGGCAGTGGTGTTATCCTTAAAATGAGGAAACGGAGGCTCACACAGCCAGTAAGCGGGATTCTAACAGACACGTCTCACTCCCGAGTTTTGGCTCTTAACCATAAATCCATATGGCTTTTCTTTCCCTTTCTGATGAGCTGAGAAGACCATATATATACCTTGGAAAGGCAGGGCTAACAGGACTGGTAATTCCTGAACATGTTGTAGAAGGAAGGCAGCCAGTCCGTTCGCCTTCACTGTGGCAAGATCGAGGAGCCTTCTTGCCTATGGGGAAAGCAAAAGCCATTATTTTTCCAGAAAAGATGATAGAGAGGTGTGGGAAGGTTTCTACTGATTACCACAATTTCATAGGCCTCTCTCTTCCACCACAATAAAAGACCAGAAAAACATCCAAACAACAGGACGGGTTTAAAGAAGTTGATACAGCACTGGGGGGTGAAATGAATACTTAAACACACACATCCAGTCAGGCTGCCTCCCAAAACCCACTGAAAGAGCAAATTACTTAAAAAAAAGACATAAACCTACAAACCTACGAGGGTAGGGAAAACAATCCTAGAAGCTGGAAATCATTTGGAAGAGAGGTGATTTCACTGAGTCTCCTGGATGAAGCGCCATCTCTGCGCAGGACTCCCGTGTTCCCAACTCCAACCTGAGCTACGCCCCTGAACCCTGGATGTGCACATCCAACCGTGTACTCGGCACCTCCACCTGGATGTCTCATAAACACCACCACTTAACATATCCAAACTAAACTCCAAGTGTACACACACCCCAAACCTACAGCCTTCCTCATCTCAGCTGATGGCAACTCCATCCTTCCAGTTGCTCAGCCCCAAAGTTTCGGAGTCATCGTTGAAGCCTCTCCTCTGCAAGCCACCAGCCAATCCTGCTGGTTCCACCTTCAGAGTGGATCCAGAACAGCACTGCGTGGTAGAAATATAACGAGATACGTGCAAGACGTGTGTAATTTTGAATCTTCTAATAGCCACATTATTAAAGATAAAAAAAGATGAAATTAATTTTAATCATATATTTTCTTTAATCCAACATAGCTAAAATATTACCATATCAACATGTAATTTCGTATTAAGTCTTTGAAATAGAATGTCATTGTGGACGGGCCACATTTCACGTGCCCAACAGCCACAAGTGACCAGTGTCTACCACGGCGGATGCACAGCAGGAGAGCCCTGTCTCTTCCTATCATCTCCTTTACTGCTGTCCTGGTCCAAACCACCAGCATGGCTCACCTGGAAAACTGCAAAGGCTGCATCACCGGGCTGCCTGTGCCTGTCCCTGTCCCCACCATCTGTTCTCAACACCACAGTTAGAGAGTAATTCTTTAAAAATAAAAGCCCGATCACACCACTCCTACTACATATGTCCCAATGTTTCCCTCATTTCTCAGAGTAGAAACCCAGGCCCAACAGTAGCCGACAAGGCCCCAACAGACAAGTCCCACCTGCGACCATCTGGAGCCTGGTTACTTCTCAGGCCTCACCTCTCACTCCTCTTCCCCTTGTTCATGCCACTCAGCACACCAGCCTCCTGTTTCCTGAAAATATCAAGAAGGCCCCCACCTCTGGGCCTTTGCCCTGGCTGTCCCCTCTGCCTTGAATGCGCTTCCCCCAGCTAGCCACATGACTACTTCCGTCACTTCCTTCAGGTTTTTGCTCAGAGTTCACCTTCTCAGGTTGAACTCCCTGACGGCTCTAATAGGCGAGCACGTACCCCCGCCCCTGCGCCTCTCAAACCCACTCTACTTATTTCACAGCACATGCCACCTTCCAACACGCTCTGTGATTCACTTCCTCCGGCTTATTGTCTCTCTTCCCCACTGGCATCTTAGCATCTCCAGGACAAGGAGTTTTGTCTGTTTTGTTCACTGCTGTAACCCCCATGCCTAGAATAGTGCCTGAACTGGTGATCCAGGACTTGCCAAATGAACGAATAGTAATAGATTTAGAAGAGTCCAGGACGCCCAATCCTAAGGAACAATGGGAAAACTGAAAACCGCACAATCTGTGTCTCAGAATCTGCAAAGCCTGCTAGAACTAAGAGCACCAGGGACCTCTGGAACCAAGGAAATGATTAAACCAAGGAAGGCTGAGTCAGAGTGCCTGATGAAACGGATCTCCAGTTGCCCTTACACAGGCCAAGCCACTAGCAACTGTGCTTGCCCTGCCATGGCAAAGCGTGGAGAGTTATATCCTGGAAAAGCTAAAACAGAGCCCCTGGACTGTGAGGTACCAGGTACAGATGAAGGAGGTGGGGACCATACCCCAAACAGAGGTTTTAAATGACCAAGTGTGGGGGCTGCCCTGGTGGCGTAGTGGTCGGGTTTGCATGCTCCACTTCGGCAGCCCAGGGTTCACAGGTTTGGATCCCAGGCACAGACCTAGCACTGCTCATCAAGCTATGCTGTGGTGGTGTCCCACAAAAAATAAAGGAATATGGGCACAGATGTTAGCTCAGCAACAGTCTTCCTCAAGCAAAAAGAGCAAGATTGGCAACAGATGTTAGCTCAGGGCCAACTTTCCTCACCAAAACAAAGACCATGTGCAAAGTGAATACTGAATGCTGAGCGTCCCACGACTGTCACTGCCCAGCCCTCCCACTCACTGGCTCCACAGCTCTGGCAGTCAGACCTTTACCTCTAGGTGGGAGGGCTGGGAAGTCTACACCGGGAACTTGACCAACCCAGGAGGAAAGGTCTAAAGACACAAACACTGCCATTTCCCAAGATTTCTACAGTGAAACTCAAAGTAGACAAGCTTCACCTGCGTGCTCTGAGTTTCCAGTAAGTTTTAAAGTATTCTATTTCAGTCATGAGCAGACAACGAAGGATTATCATAAGCCCAAAGAAAGCATCTAATATGGGAGATAGAAGCCAAACAAGTAGGGGAGGGGAAAGCAACTTGTAGGATAAAAAGGTTATGCAGGGTGAAAAGCAATTACGAAAACACCCTATCATTATGATCCTTAAGTAAGAGAATATATTGCATCCATAAAACAAGAACAGGATGCTATAATAAGGAACATTCAAACACAGCTTTTGGAATTAAAAGAATGACAGCAAAATGAAAAACTCAAGGGTTTAACAATAAAGTTGAGGGCATCATACAGAAAGTACAGCAAAAAGACACAGAGATGGAAAACAGATGAGAAATAGGAGAAAATTAGATGATCAGTCCAGGAGTTCAAAATTCAAATAATTCCATAAAGATAGAAGAGAGGAAATAGGAAGAAATCATCAATAAACTAATCACAAAAATTTTCCAGAACATGAAGACATGAGTTTCCAGGTGCAAAGTGCCTCTTGGGTGCCCAGCACAATGGAAGAACACCACGCACATAGTTGTGAAATTTCAGAATGTTAGGGACCAAAAGAAAATTTTGTAAGCTTCCGGAAAGAGTTACAAAATGGTTTTGGAATCCTTCCAGCAATTCTTCTCTACAAGAGAGAAGATAAGGGAGTAACACTCTCAACATTATGAAGGAAAATGATGACCAACCCATAATTTTATACCCAGCCAAACTATCGATTGAGCCTTAGGAAACCTTTCAAGTAAGAGCTCAGACATTTTAACTCCCATACATTCACTCTGAAGAAGTGACTGGAGGACGTGATCCACCAAACTGGAACAAACCAAGAAAGAAGACACGGTATTCAGGAAACAGGAGAACCAACGCAGGGGGACTAGAAAGGGAAATCTCAGGATGACAGCTCTGTACTACAAGTAGAGGGCCGCCGGCCAGACAGACTGGACCAGTGTGACCCAAGACAGTTACCCATGAGATGTCCAGACAGGCCTGGCTCTAAGCTTTATCTGTATTTGGCTTGTCTGCACCATGGCTAATACCATTCTTTCTGTCAACCCCTGCTGCCTGGATCAGCTGAGGACACTCATTTCACCCCACAGAGGGTTGGCTTTGCCCTATGCCCGGGAGCTGGAAGAGCCTTTGGCAAGCTTACAGCTGAACGTACAGAGCAGCCCACTTCCTCTGACCGTATTCCTGCTCGACATCCGGCCCCTGACTCGCACCCACCCCACCAGATCCTCCAGCTGTGGGGAGCCCTCTGTTTCCCAGGACTCACTATCGACTTTGCCCACTGACTTCCCAGCAGGGGCCCTTATAAGCTCCCCGAGAAGGTAAAGCCCGACCTTGACCCTGAGACCCTGTCCAGCTTCCCTGTTCCTGGGAGCCTTCATCCAAGAAGGAAAGGCAACACTGCCCTTTCCGGACACAGCTATGTTTGTGCTTGCTGTGCAGTTTTTCAAAACAAAACAATACACTGTTTGGGGATTTATTGTATAATGTGTTAAAACTATAAAGAAAAGCAAACAAATGATTAACATAACAGTTGGGCTACTTGTTACACTAGTAGTTTCAATTGAGTAAGGTACTAGTGACTTTCTATTTCTTCACCTGGGTGATGGGAATACGATTCTGCCATAACATGAAATTATACACTTTTCTGTAGGCACAGTACCTTTCCCACGTTAAACCTGTTGGGTTAATATAGTGAAGGAGCCAAACGATTCAGTCTGACACCCCGGTCCTATCAACTTTAGCAGTTGCACGAGTCAGATGGACAGCTGGTATTACAGCTGGTGTTCGAGCCTCAGGTTTGCTAACAACTGTTATGCCCAGCAGAGCAAGTTTACCCCCATGAAGTCCTCACATTTCATGACAGAGAGAGAAGAGGACGAGCTATGGAGACAAACAGGCCTGGATTCAAATTCCAGCTGGGCCACTTCCCCGATGGGTGATTGGGCAGCTTCTTCATGGTTAAGAAACAGTGGAGCCACACGACACCCTGGCAGGTTGAGGTGTGGCTTAAATGAGAGAAAGGGCTGAGCGTGGGGCCTGGCACACAGGAGGCAGCTGCTCAGTGAACAGCAGCCACGGGCATTTTAGGGATCCCGTTCTTTTACTTGCATTTTGTTTCATTCCACAACATTTTTTAGTCCCCAACCCACAATCCATGACAATCACCTCTTTATAGGAAATTATTACGAGAATATACATGGCAGTCCTGGATTGGGGAGATACGTTACTTGGGTATACCACAAGTGCCACCCCCAGTGAATCAGAAATTCAGCTACTAAGTTAGAGACTCATAGAACGCCAGAGCTCAAGGGAGGCTCGGCGAGCCCTGATTCTACAGACACAAACCTCAGGCAGCCCAGGCCCTTTACAAACCCCTATAACCCTCAGACGTCGTCTGCCATCCTCTCCACGTGCTCAGCTCCATCCCAGCCCTCAACGCTTTTGCTGTCTACCTAGCCCTTTCTTAAGATGGATTCTTAGCTCATCAAAATACAGCCCTTCTTCTTTCCTACTATAAGCATTTAAGGTTATAAATTTCCCTCTATGTTCTACTTTAGCTGTATCCTGTAATTTCTATAAATCATATTCTCACTCCTGTTTGGTTCTGAATATTTTCTGATTTCTGTTATGATTTCTTCTTTGACTCATCAGTCATCCTATTTTCTTTTCTTCCTCAATCCAAACACTTCCTCCATTCATGCCCTGGCTCCCCTGGGCCCCAGGCTTCCAGGCCATCTTCTCCAAACCCCTTAGAGCATCCAGACCAGACCACACTGTTGGGCCCTTGACCAAAGAGGGTAAGACACAACCCTTTAACTTCCCATGTGGGCTGATTCGATCCCACCAACAGATCACAAAAGATACCAAGGTAGGTACAATAACTAACACGTCTTCTGTAATCCCCACAGGGCCAGGCTCACAGACATGGTGCTCAGGGTGTGACTGTAGCTTTCACATGCAGACCACACCATGTCTGCTCTCTAACTACTTGGCCACCTTGAGCTGGCTTTAAAATGGCCTTGAAGACAGACTGGCTTATTCCATCAGTCTCAACCTAGGCTTACCTAAACTCACTTGGACAGTAAATAAATTTTTTTCAAAACAGACAAAAATAAAAACTAGAAAGCCCCCCAACCCAGCTCATCCTAACACTGCAATGTAATTCCCATTCATTCATTCACTCAGTAATTCATGTATTTCATCCACAAGTATTGATTGCGTGCCTATTATGTGCAAGGCACTCAGAGCACAATAAGCTTTAAGACAGAGCCTGGCACATAGAAGGCATCTATGAATGAATGAAGAAATTAATGATAAATGAATGAACCAAGGCACCGGGGCCAGCCCTGGCCTTCCCATTAACTACTGTGAGCTTACTCAAACCACCTTGCTGGGCCTCAATTTCCCAGTCTATGAAGTGGAATGTTAATGACCGTTCCTGCTGCATCACAGGAGGCCTGAGGGTCATTGTCTAGGGGAAAATAGAACAAAGAGTTTCAAAAATACCCAGTGGACACTTTTCCGTTCTCATGGAACGGTGTTTTCAGAGGCAGTCACATCCTAACTCGGAACGTCTAAGATCTAATGCGATTTCGTATGGGAAATCCTATGCGGGTGTTCAAACTATGGGAGTACACGGGGCACTATAACAACTACTGCATACAGGTCTAATTCAATGAATTGTTATGATCTGTTGAGCTGTTACTTTAGAACAGACGGCAATGCAAGTGTACAAGCAGACTACCACTGATAACAGAACTGACAGCAGCCGCTGGTCACGCTGAGGAGAGCTCCCTGTGCACTGCACTGTTCTAAGTGTCCCGCAGATCAACTCACTGAATTCTCCCAAGAGCCTTATGGATGTTTTACATGTGAGGAAACTGGAACAGGAAAGATGAAGGGTGGAGAGTGTCCCTAGAGAAGCCAGCAGCCACACAGAGCAGGCCCTGAGCCACATCATTCTGACTCCAGAATCCACGCTTGGCCCCCACACAACACCTTCTATCATCACAAGAGGTAAGATACCAAAAGTCCTGAGCAACTTCTACTGGCCTGGCTACCTTTTGAGGAGGAATCGCATGACCCAGGTCTCCCGACAGGGCTGACTTCACAAAGACAAACATGTCTCGTGACTAAGCACCGTTTTCTGGTGAATTCTGATTACCCAAGAGGGAAGTGCCTTACCCGCTGGGATGACGTGAAGATGGGCAACCTGATTTCATCACATTCGTACCGGCTGATGAAGCCCCGCTCGTGCGCCAGGTCCAGCACGCCCTCCACATGGCTGTAGAGTCTCCTGACAATGGCTGGCCGGTGACTCTGCAGGTCCTGGGCTGGCTGGGGTGAGTGGGGGTCCCAGTGCCCAGGAAGTTCGGGAGACTGGCTGTCGGCCTGGGCCTCCCGGACAGCCGCGACGAGTTGTTCACAGCCCCAAGCACCCTTCTTCCAGACAGTGTCCAGGAGGTGCCTGGCCAAGTGGGAGAGGGGCTGGCCCACGAGGCTGAGGCTCTCATAGTCTTCCCAGGAGAGGACGTCCCAGGAAAGCAGCCAATCCAGGACACTCTCGAAGCCCTCCAGGGACCCCGAGACCAGCAGCCCCACCAGCTGGCTCCTCTGCGCCTGGAAAGCCTCCTGCGTGCACATTTCACAACCTGGGGAGGAGAGTGAGGTCAGGGCAGGACTGCTCCGGAAGCAGGCGGGGGCAGTGGAGGCCGAAAGTCAGCCCCACCCTGAGCCCAAGCTGGCCACAGCTCTCCCCTTAGACATCACACAACCCAAGCTCCCCATTGTACACATGTACACACTGGGGCCCAGAAAAGTCAAAAAACTGCCTCAAGGTCCCACAGAAAATTTGAAGCAGCCAAGAGTTAAATCAAGACCTGTCTCTCACGGGGTCAGCCTGGTGTCGCATGGTTAAGTTCGCACACTCTGCTTTGGCAGCCTGGGATTCACCAGTTTGGATCCCAGGTGCAGACCTACGCACTGCTTATCAAGGCATGCTGTGGTGGCATCCCACATATAAAAATAGAGGAAGATGGGCATAGATATTAGCTCAGGGCCACTCTTCCTCAGCAAAAAAACAAAAAAGAGAGGAAGATTGGCGGCAGATGTTAGCTCAGGGCTAATCTTCCTCAAAAACAAAAAAAAGACCTGGCTCCCACATCCATGCTACATCGCTGGCTTAAGAAGTTTAAAAAGTTAAGAAGCTCAAAATATGGAGCTAACGTTAGGAGCGATGTCTCCCAAGGAAGCAGAGAATTAATTCTCTTTGAGGCCTTGTGAGGGGCCTTAACCTGCTGGCTGGATTGGGGCTACAGCAGCTCTCTCTTCAATAATGGCTACATTTCTTAGCGCACACAGTGTGCCAGGCACCACTCTAAGCGCTTTCACATGTGAACTCATTCAACTCGCCCCCCACTCTGAAGTAGGTGCTACCATCAGCCCATTCTACAGATGAAGAAACTGAGGCACAGAGAGGTTAAGTGACTTGTACAAAGGCTCACAGCTACAGTAGGTGGAGCTAGGATTTGAACCCAAGCAGGGTGACACCAGAATGCATGCCTTCAATTCCCTTATATTTGGGTTGGCACAGGGGCCCAGAGCCCAGGCCTGTGTAGGAACCCACCACTACCACAAGGGGCAGACCCAGGACATGGCTATAAAGATCCCAACCCAGGTGAAAGAAAAGTCTGCGTGTAAGCTAAGCCGTCTCAAAGCTGCAGGTGTGTTGCCCCCAGTCATCACTGCCCCTTCCCACCTGCCCCCCAGCGTCACCTCCCTCCCACCCCCTCACCACCACACGTTACATGCTGTCGCCTCTGCCACTGGCTCACACAGGCCTCAGCCGTCAGACTCCGGGTTCTGGGGATTCGAGGGAACTCGATCTCTCGGAGCTCCAAGCCCTGGGAGGGTTCCAAGCAGCAGAGAGTCGCTCAGCAGGTTCTGTTCTGCGAGTGTCACAGGGTCCAAGGATGTGGGCTGGTGTGGCGCCCAGAGAAAACGAAAGTGAGAGTGTGGGCATGGAAAAAGGAGAAACATCTGCCGCTTTTTACAAAACAGGGACATTCCAAGACACTCAAGGGAGCAGACGCCAAAAGGCTTGGGGATTTTGCCTCTTTCCTATTTCTTGTTTACGTGTCTCACTCCCTTCCTGGCCCGAGTGGAAGCCTGGGTCTTATTCATCCTGGCATCCGTAAGCTTGGCACAGGGCTGGGCCCAGGGGAGGCACAGCGGGAATGTTCATGAATCAAAAATCCACTGAGCAAGGGAAGAGGCTGGAACACTCTGTGCCACCCTCATATGCTGGCCAAGGTAAGAGAAAGGGGAAATCTCCAACTCAGGATGCTGCCAACACTCAGGCTGGAGGCCTTGTGCTGGCCAGATAAGAGACAGAGGCAGGGGCCCAGCGCACACACGGCACTGCTCATGAAGCCACGCTGGAACGGCATCCCACATGCCACAACTAGAAGGACCCACAACTAAAAATACACAACTGTGTACCGGTGGGCTTTGGGAGAAAACGGAAAAATAAAATCTTTAAAAAACAAAAAGAATTGGAGGCAGCAAGGTCACCTGCGTGTCTGGCAGCTTGGGAGGGAGAGCATCCCCGATGCAGACGGCACTCTAAACCAGGAACTAAAATAGTTCTCTCCAGCCAAGCAGGCTGCCTTCTGTGCCCACGCCAAGCCGAGGAGCCAAGAGGGTAGAGGTGGGGAGGAGGGAGGAGAGAACAGGAAAGGGGAGCAGGAGCTCTGGGCTTGGCCCTGCAGTGGTTCTCAGCTGTGGAAACACCGGCTCCACCACACCCCCCACCCAGGTCCTGGGGAAAAGAACCACTCACCCGGAAACGGGAACAGCCCAGAAATGGGGTCAGTCCTCTCCTTCTGACCCAACGCTCGGAGGGCATGTGCATAGCCAGGAATTAACGAGGTTGAAAGTTAGGAAGAGACAGGACTGTGCTGGCTTCTCGCACCCCGGGGATCCCTAAGGACGACAGCTGCTCTCTCCTCCGCATTGGGAGAGCCTGGAGCATCCCGCCCTCCAGCAGAGCTCATTAGGCATGGCAGAGCAAGATGGCCAAGTCATCGGCGGGCAGGCCTTGAGCAAGAAGGCAAAGGCGCAGGACCGGCAGGCCTAGATCTGCCCACAGACCCTACCTCCTGCCCGGGGAAACCCCGGAAGGATGAGCCAGCAGCCAGAGCTGGCCAACCAGCTGTGCAGACATAAGTAATTCTCAGCAGTTCTGGCACAAAGCCTTGTGCATCCACTGTGACCTGTACTGAGAGACCAGGCTGGGACCTGAGACACGCCCACAGACGTGCACGCCCACAAGGGGATGAGCTGTGAGTGAACAGGCCCTTCCTGAACACACCAAGTCTGGGGCAGCCCAATGGATGCTCGGGCCCCACACACCCAAGCCAGCGACATCAGGGTTCTGTGGACACCAGGAGGGAGAGGCGGGCCCAAGCCACAAGGTTTGAAACTCTGTCTTCCTAGCAGCAGCTAGAAAGTTCCATCTCTGCCCTGGCCTTCTCCCAGAAACCTCAGAGCAAGGAGAATCCCCAAGGACCAATTTGGCCAGGCCCCTGTCTCTGAGCAGGCATTGTCCCTTCTCATCTTAAACAGCCAGTGGGGAGGATCTGGCCTTGTTGCTGGCCTCACTAACCTGCTCAGGAAGTTCCTCATTATATCTAACTTAAGTTTCTCCTGCTTCAGTTTAAATTGGGAAAGAGAGAAAAGAGATGTCCACTCATCACCTATTTCATGAAAACTGTCCCTGAAATCCTGCCTCTTGCCCTTGATCGCCTGCTCAGAACCCCCCTCTTCAGACTAGATACGTCAGTCTATCACCTTGCCGTCTCTTTTCCACGTCAGTTACTACACTTGTGGAGCCATTACAGTCTCTCCTCCAGGAAGGTGAAGCCCATCCATGCGAAGAAAGGGGCACTTCCTTGCTGAAGGAGAGGGCCCAGCAGAAGGGGCCACCCACGTGGGTCCTCCCTTGTCCCCAAGCCCTGACACTCCCTTCCTTCCTGAGACCACAGCCTGCCTGGTTTCTCTGGGGCCCTGAGCCAGTTAATGTGCTTCAGTGGTGAAATCTCAGTCCACTGGGCGCCTGCACACAGGAGCCGGAGGGAGGCCCAGGGACGGCCAGCTTTTGCACTGTCCCGGCTGAGCAGGGCCGAGCCTCCCTGGGGCACTGGGTCCATCCCCCGACCTCCTGCAGCCATCCTCCATTCTCGCCCCCTTCACCCAGCGTCCCTCTGGGAAAGCATTTCCCACCAGCATACAAGCAGACGTCCCTCCATTCTAAAAGTCAAGCCCTCTCTCTACCCTCACTTCCCCTTTCAGCCCTAACCTCATTTCTCTGCCCCCCTTCACAGCCGGACTCCTTGTCTGTCGTCTGTACTGCTGTCCTCAAGACCTCCCCTCCCACCCCCTGCCAACCCGGCCTCTGTGGCTTCCCTCGGGGTCACCAGTGAGGTCCACCTTGCTTCGTCCTCAGCCCCCGTCTTGCTTGCTCTGTCAAAGGCAGCTGTCATACTCACTCCCTCCCTCCTCCTCTGAGCACTTTCCGCACTGCATCCAGGACAGCCCAGCCCTCTGATTTCTCCACCCATCTACTGGCTGCCCTGACTGTCTCCTTGTCTGGTTCCTCACACTGGGAGTAAGTCCCTGGTCAGACCGCTTTCCTCCGTATCACTCTCCCTAAGTGAGCCCACTGGCTCTTACGGCCTTAAATATCAGCTACAGGGCGAGGACGCCCAAAATTTATTTCCGGCTCCAACCTCTCCACGAAACCTCACCCGGCTCCTACTGGACCTCTTCATGTGGATGCCTGAAGTTGACGGCAGCTCAAAACTTCCAGACGCTCAGGCCAAAACCCTCCGAGTCGTCCTTGACTCCACCTTGACTCCACCTTGACTCCACTCTTCTCTCGCAGCCAAATCCATGGATTCTATCTCCAAAACATACCCCAAATCTGACAATCTGAGATGTTTCCACCACCTCTGTGCCATGGGCACGGGTAGAAGCCCCCATGGGCTCTCCCCAGAATGACAACAGCAAACCCCTCGCTGGCCCCCGCTTTCTGCCCTCACGTCCTCCAGTCTACTCTCCCACCACAGCCAGCCGAGCCTGCTATCCCCGAGTGAGAGCAGGTGGCTCTGCTCCTCGCTGCTGCCATCTGCTGCCATCGCACTCAGTGAAAACCCCACCCTCACTGTGACCTTCGAGGTCCCACGCACTGACCCCCACATCCCCCCTTCTCTCTCTGCACTCGTTTCCTACTGATCCCCCATGGGCTCCTCACCCACCCTGCTCCAACCACTGTCCTCCTCCTTGTTCCTAGAACAAGCCAGACCTGCTCCTGTCCGTCATGCTTCTGCCTGGAGGCCTCTGCATTGCTCTTCCCTCTGCAAGTGCACTGTCCCCCTGCCCCCAGCTCACGCCCCCCTTCAAGGCTTTGCTCAGTTGTCACCATCTCAGGGAGGCCAGCCCTGACTATGCGATATAAAATTGCAATACCCACCCCAACACCTCATCCTTCCTGCCTGCTTTACTCTTCTCCATAGGACCTCCCACCAGCCGGCATATCATATATTTGCTTATTTGACTGCTTCCCACTCCTTTCTAGAGTAAGAACTCCACGCGGGCAGGGAGTTGGGTCTGATTTTTTCATTGCAATATTCCCAGTGTCTCACCCAGTGCATTGATAAAGATTGTTTGAAGGAATAAAAGAATGACTTTACTCTGCAGTTCCCAGGAGGCAGAAATGCAGCCAAGGGGCGGAATCTGCAAGGCACAGATTTTAGCTGGATGAAACCAGAGCCACAGGACACTGAACAGCCACCTCACAAAGGAGACAAGCTCGCTGTCCCTGAGCAAATGCAGCAGAGGCGTCCTGCACTGTGCGGGGAGGAGGTGGGCTGGGTGGGGTCCCTTCCAGTCTCAGATCCCAGTGTGCAGATTGGCAAAGGGGATCTGAGTAAGCAACAAACTTAGGGGTGGAGCGACTGGGACAGGAGAGCAGAGACCATGGGACGTCACTCAGGTCCTCCTCACCACGGGGCCGGGGATGGGTGATACGACAGGCTTTTGCCCTCTATGGAACAAGCACCCTATGGCCAGGAACAGCCCACAGGGAGACCAAGGCCATTGGCAGGGAGAAGCTAAGGGCTCAGAAAGAGGGAGAGAAGCGAGAGCAGACTCAGTGCCAGGGGTCCAGCTGTGGGAGGCCCTCCCCAGGGGATTTGGTGGGTTTTTAATTTGCTAGAAAGCAAGGAGAACCAGACGGCTGCTTCTCAACATGCCGGGCATAGAAGAGGGCCAAAGGCACAGAGGATGTGACACTGGGCAGCCCCTGGTGTGGGCCTGTCTGGCTTGAGGGACGAGGAGGGGTCTGGGCACCCACGGAGGGGGAGGAGGAGGCAGGAGACCGCCAGGAGTTACAAGGTCGCTGATGGGGTTAGAAGTCATCCAGGCAGTCTCTCACACCCTTCTATTCACAGGTATGGGAAAGATGAGGAAACCGAGGCCCGGAGAGAGGAAGGGACTCCACAGCAAGTAGCCTTGGGGGAGATCTGAAGCCTGGCCTCCTCGTTCCCAGGCCGGCCAGGTGCCTCAGGACTTCTCATCCCGCAGGCTCTCCCTCCACAGCCCCTCACCCCAAATCACAGCTCTCTCCTGACCTCAAAGGCTCCTGGGGCCTGGGAGTTCCGCCCGCATCCCCAAGCCACCTCATTCTCCGGAGCCGTAGCCCGCCAGGGTGCTCCCCATCCTCAAGACGCCCCCTTTCCTTCTGCCTTCCATCTAGACCCCGGGACTCCCCACGGGGAAACCGAGGCAGGCTCTCCCTAAGCCGACGCCCCCTTTCGTTCTACCTCCCATCTAGACCCTGGGACTCCCCGAGGGGCAACCGAGGCAGCCCCTTCCTAAGCCTGGCGGCCCGGACGGCTCCGAAGCCAAGTGTCCGAGCACTCGCGCCTTCTCCCCGCCGTCCCCGCGCCAGGCGCAGGAGCACTCACCGCGGGTCCCCAGCGTCCGAGTCCTCCACGCGGTCGGCGCCGCGACTCCGGCTCGGACTGCGCTCTGGCCCGGCCGTGCTGGCGCTGGACGCGCCCCGCCGTCCCCGGCCGCGGACTGGCCCTGCCCCGGGCGCCGCCCCGCTCCCCGCCCCGCGCCCGCGGCCACACCCCCACCGCCCGCCCCGCGCCCCGAGCCGCCCCGATCCCGGCCGAGGGGCAGGCAGCGCCGGGCTGCTGCGGGGCCGGCCCGCGTGGCCGGTGAGCCGCGTCCCGAGAGCCCCCTCCAGCCGCGGGGACCCAGAGCCTCCGAGCACCGGTCAGCGCGCCCGCGGGCCTCCAGAGCCTTGCTGTTGTGAGGTCCCGAACAGCCTCTCCTGGGCGGGACCGGTTCCGCCAGGGCAGGGGGCGTCCGCGGCTCCTGTCTGCACCTCTGCCGGTCCAGGAGGGGCGCCCACCTGCCGCGACGTCCGACCGACGCTGAACGGCCCAGTCCTTCCCCTTAAATTAAGTTCGCTTCGTTTTATGATTTCTTATTCTTCCGAGCAAGTGACGCTGGTTTTCCATTGAAGATATTAACACAAAAATTCCTTTTAAAACACTTGTATTTGGAAAATTTTAAATGGAAGTCAATTTACAGGAAAATAACTGACATTTACAAAGTGCTTACTGTGTGCCAGGCTTTGCTCACATTAACTCAGTTAATCCCGTCGACAGGGTAGTGGCTGTCGTTATCTTCAATTTATAGATGAAAATACTGAGCACAGAAAGGTCAATTCACCTGCCCAAGTAGTGACCGCAGAGCCAAGATTTGCTCCCAGTATCTGGCGCCAAAAGTCATGCTCTAACCGCTACCGTGCACTGCCTCCAGGTAAATGCCTGCACGGGGGCGCGCAGTTGGCTGTCGAAGGTTGAATGTTGCATTACAAGGACTGAAACCACCCCACGGAAATCCCTCTGGATGGTGTACAGATCTGTCTCCAAGGATGTTCACCACTATCTTCTCTATAACGGTGAGAAACCGGAAGGCTCCTAATTACCCAATAATAGGAGATTACTTAAGAAAATTAACAGGGGCCAGCCGTTGGTCTAGCGGTTAAGTTGGCGGGCTCCACTCGGTGGCCCAGGGTTCACGGTTTGGATCCTGGCATGGACCTGCACATCGCCCATCAAGCCATGCTGTGGTGACATCCCACATACAAAAAAGAGGAAGATTGGCAACAGGCGTTAGCTCAGGGCCAATCTTCCTGACCAAAGAAAAAAGAAAATTAACAGAGCAACTGAACCAGGAAAACTTAACCAACTCATCTTCTCTCATACCCCACATCCAACCTGGGAGCAAACTGGAGCAAATTTTCCAGCTTGAGCTTCACAATATATCCAGAATTCAGCCACTGCTTGTTATATCCACCACTGCCACCTGGGTCCAAATCACTGTGTCTGACCTGGGTCAAGGCAAGAGCTGCCAGCCATTCTCTATGATCCCAGCTGCAATCTTTCTTCAGCATGGCAGCCACAATGAGTCTGTTTAAAAAAAAAGTCAAATTATGTCAGTCCTCTGCGGAAACCCTTCCACTGAGTCCCCTCTCAGAGTAAAAGTCAATGACGGTCCTTACAATTGCTGTTTGCACCCAGTGCCCTCTCTGGCCCCCTCCTCACTCTTTCCCCTCATTCATTCTGCTCCAGCCCCTGGTCTCCTGGCTGTTCCTGGAATATGCCAGGCCTGCCGCCACCTCTGGGCCTTTGCATTTGCTCTTCCCTCTGCCTGGAATGCTCTTCCTCTAGAAGTCTACATGGCTCCCTCCTTCTCCTCTTTCAGGCCTTTGCTTCAATGTGGCTTTCTCAGTGAGGTCTTCCCTGACCATCCCGTCTACAACTGCGACTGCCTCCCCCTGCATCCCTTCCCCTGCTTTCTTTTGCATCTTTCTCTACAGCACCTATCTGCTCACAACGTACTATATATTTACTTATTTATTGTCTTTGCTGTCAGTCTCTCACCCGAAAGAACAGGAGCTCCAAGGAAGAGGAACCTTTCTATCTTGCTCCCTGCCTCATCCCAGGGCCTAGAATGGGGCCTGGTATGCAATAAATATTTGTTATGTGAGCATACCAAAAATGATGCTGTAATTCTAATAAACAATGAAAATGAATGACTTACTCCAGCCCACAGGAAGTGCACCTTCACAAACATTGTGTTGGGTGAGAGAATCCAGATACAGAGGCATAATACTGTCTGACATCATTTACTTAAAGTTCAAAAGCAGGAAGAACTGAGTAATAGTGATGGGAGCCAGGATAGAGGTTGCCACTGGGGAGGAGGTTGGCGGTTACGACGAGGAAAGGGACAAAGGAAACTTCTGGGGTGCTAGTAACTTTCTATTTTTTTATCTGAGTGGTGGTCACATGGGTATGAATACTTTGTGAAAACTGATTAAGCTAAATACTTAATGATGTTTGCATTTTCCTTTATGCTTGTTATATTTTAATAAAAATTAATTTTTAAAAGATGCTGTAGAGGTATGTTTATTAGTATAGAGAGACACCCATAATATAAGACAAAGTTTAAAAGGCAAGTTGCTTTTCAAGAAGAGTGCCAAGACAACTTAAGGGGAAAGAGCAGTCTTTTCAACAAATGGTGCTGCAAAAATTGGATAGCCCCATGCAAAAGAATGAATTTGGACCCCCACCTCAGGCGACATACAAAAATTAATTCAAAATGGATCAAAGACTAAATGTAATTAAATGGATTACATGGATTAAATGTAAGAGCTAACATCTAAAGCTCTGAGAAGTAAACACGGGTGTGAATCTTCATGACCTTGGATGAGGCAGTGATTTCCCAGATGACACCTGAAGTACAAGCAAGCAAAGAAAAATAAACAAATGGGACTTTAGCAAAATCACAAATTTTTGTGCTTCAAAAAACACTATCAAGAAAGTGCAAAGACAACCAAGAGAATGGGAGAAAATATTTGCAAATCATGTTCAAAATATACAAAAGACTCCTAAAACTCAACAATAAAAAGACTAATGCAATTTTTTAAATGAGTAAAGGATTGGAATAGACATGACTCCAAGGGAGATATGTACACAAGTGGCCAATAAACACAGGAAAAGATGCTCAACATCATTAGCCATCAGGGAAATACAAATTAAAACCACAAGGAGATACCACTTTACACCCAAAAGGGGGGCTATAATCAAAAAAATAGAAAATAACAAATGTTGACGGGGCTGTGAAGTTGGAATCCTCACACGTGACTGGTAGGAATGTAGAATGGTGCTGCTGATGTGGAAAACGGTTTGGTGGTTCTTGAAAAATTTCCACATGGAGTTACCATATGACCCAGCGACTCCTAGGTATATACTCAAGAGAATGGAGAACATGTATGCGCACAAAGACTTTACACCAATGTTCACAGCAGTGTTGTTCATAACAGCCAAAATGCAGAAACAAGCCCAAAGCCCATCAATGGATGAGTGGAAAAACACAAACGGTACATCCTTAGGATGGAGTATTATTCAGCCATAAAAAGGAATGAAGTATTGAAACACACTACAACATAGGCAAACCTTGAAAACATTATGCTAAGTGAAAGAAGCCAGACACAAAAGGCCGCATATGGTATGAGTCCATTTATGTGAACTGTCCAGAATAGGCAAACCCAGGGAGCTGTGGTCGCCAGGGCCCGGGGGGGGGAGGGAGAAACGGGGGGAATCGCTGCTCACGAGCCCCAGGTTTCTTTTCAGCATGATGAAAATGTCCTGGGGTTAGATCATAATAATGGTTAATGGTTACACAACCTTGTGTATGTACTAAAATCCACTAAATTGTACACCTTAAAAGGGTGAATTTTATCGTATTTGAATCATATCTCAACACAGAACAAGTGGGTTTCAATAATGTTTTGTGTAATGTGCTCCTAGGCTGTAATAAAAATCTATGAATATGTGTGTTGAAAAATCTAAAAGACTGTCTTTCCAAATTTATGGTTGGATTGTAGGTGGACTTTTAAACCTCTTTTTTGCTAACGTATATTTCCCAATAAATATGTATTACTTGTATAATAATAATTTTATAAAACTTTTCACTTCAGTGAGTTAAGGGGCATCTATTAACAACTCCCTGTATGCAGGACCCTGTGCCACCAGGCATTGGGGAGCCCCTGGTGACATTGCTGGCTCCGTGTGCTCTGACCCAGGCACCAGTCAGGCAGTGCTCAGAAGGGGCAGGGGACAAAGCTTCTAGGGGTCCCCAGGCCCGAGACTTTGCTTCTGCAGGAGGAACCCTCTAGATTGTGTCATTTAAAGTCCTCCCAGGTCAGGAGGCCGGTGGAGGCTGGAGCGAGGTTTGCCAGCGGCTTATGCCCAAGGGATGCCCCAGGAGGCGGGACTATCTCTGGCAGTTCTGGGATGGAAGAGGCCCTGCCCAGCACAGCTGCTGCTGCCCACGCAGGTGGTCACTCCAGCCTCACACGGGGCAGCAGTCACCATGCTGCTCCCCCGCTCCAAGCAGCCCACCCACCCACTGGAGTCCAAACCCTTCCACAGGCGGGCCCCGATGAATGCACACACAGAAGGCTTCCCGGCCGCCCCCAGATGCACAGCATCTCTACGCTCTTGGTCCTCCCACCTCTGTGGTTTGCTCACTCTGTGCCCCACTGGAAGGCAACAGGTGGAAATAGCATGGACTTTGGACTGAAGGGAACCTGGATTTGAATCCTGGCTCTGCTGCTTGTTAGCTCTATGACCTTGCACCAGTTACTTAACGTTGGCCTCAGTTTCCCCAAACAGTCAAGTGGTGCTGACAACTCACTTGGCACATTTCCTGCCCAGAGAAAGCGCTAAACACTTTATGAGATGAACGTTACCATTTGTTGAGCACTTACTGTATGCCAGGCACCGTACTCTCATCCGTCATGTGATCCTCACAGCATCTACGGAAAAGGGGCTATTCTTGGTCCCCACTCTTGAGATGAAGA